GGTCAAATTTGCATACAAACTAAATACGCATTTTAGTGAAATAAAGTAATGTGACAGCGTCGTTACCACAGAAAGTTTATTACAATAATATAATAATAGAATATAGAATAAAAATAGAAAATATAGAAGAATATTATCAAAATAGGTGCATTGTGATAAATATTATTATTTAAAAATAATAATAAATTAAAATAATACTAATACATTTTAATTTGTAAGTTTTGGTCATCATGTTCCAAGTAGTCAAATGAACTATAGTCTATTTCAGTCATATGTTCGACACACTTCATTTTTCACAATTTATTGTCACACCATTGCTTTTATTTCCTCTCCCAAGAGGGTTTCTCATTTTGAAAGTAGTGTTTTATACCTTGCTACAAACGCTTTTATTTGCGCCCATACCAATTCTATGGGGTTTAATTCACAGTGATATATGTTCGTTACAAAGATATTTAAATTTAAAATTTAAAAATTAAATTTACAATATTAAGTGGCTCCTTTTTCAGGATATCGTTCTGAAATTGCTTCATATTTTAATTTTTATATTACCAATAATTATAATAAATAATTTTCTAATTTTTAGAGAACGCAGTTTTACTAATCCGTTTTTAAGCAACAAATTAAGAAACGCTAGCCATTTTCAATAACGAACTTTGGCAACAACTGCCGAAAAGTAACTATTATTCTATATTTAAACACTACTCTGGTGACTCTTAAAAATCATCATAGGTACAATACTACTCTTATCAAATACGCCCACTAAGTTTTACAGTTCTATAATGATTTACAACTATCTCCCATTAACATACAGGGCATAGTGAACCAGTTTTGAGAGCTGTGGGAAGACTAGCCAAATTTGAATTTGTATTCTTTTATATTTTGGCAAAAAAAAAACAATGAATGACTGTTTAGAACATCATATGTTTTCGGGCGAGATAAGCAGTAGACACGATAAGAGTGATAAAGAAAAATTTCCATTGTTCTCGCATTTTTTATACATTAGCACGTACATACATTGAAATTTATTTTTTTAAGCAAGCCCGATTGGGAAGAGTAAAATAATACAGTGATCTGATGAAGATGAAAGTGATTCAGATTGTATGACGATGTCTCGTTCACACTTTGATTAGATCAGATTAGTGTTGTGTCATTTTACGATAACCGAATCAAATCAGTATTTCATTTCAAGACTTCTTGTTGCCAACTGCAACTATAAGCGGCAATAGTCACTGAACCGGAACAGTCTGAACTACCGATTCAGATTAATTGGAATTAGAATTATTGTTATGTCTATATATTCTGTTTTAATTTATGTAATATTTAGCTGTGTTCTGCTTTTTATTGCATCATGGTTTTATCAAAATATGGGGTTGTGCAAGTAATACACTAATTTGTTTAAATTAAATACGTGCGAGGAAATAGATATTTTGTTCAATATTCAATTCAATACATAAGCAAATCTACCGATCGATATCGCAACTAAATACTAATACTAATATAAACTAATATAAATATATAATATAATATAATAATAAAACTAAATATAATAATTATAACAATACCCCTTTTTCGGTGGTCTGTCTCTGTAATGCCTTTCAATTTTAAACCATTCAAGTGAACCGTATTGCACAAAGCGAATTGGACTTGTTTTGGTACGGTCGGTGGATCGGTCGCCATCTCACTTCAGAAGGATCAGGGATGCAGCAAGAGCGAACAAGGTAATCGAATCGTTACGAACAAGTGCGATTCGGTCGTTCGATACAAGTGATTGAATCAAAGTGACCGAATCAATCGCGATTGACACAACTCTAGATCAGATAAAATAACCGCAAATCATATGTTCTTGCAATGTGATTGCGATGAACAAAATTAAACGATAAAAACAATCGCTTTCACTTGGTATCAGATCAGTTCAATTACCTTAACCAGATCGAAGGAATACTCGTATTGTTTTGGTATGATATAGTTGAACTGTTGTACCGGGCGTTCCAATGATAGAGAAAAGTAAGTTTTTGCCTTTCTGGTATTACCAGCGTCAAAAAATATCTTCCATAGTGTAGATGCATAAAAAAAACATACGCTCTAAAAATATTTAGGATATGCAGGGCCAGTTACAAAAGCATGATTTTTAAAATAGAATGCCCTGTTTTACTTCATTTTATTTTATATTTTACTATAAAACTTTTTTGCTAGATAATACACGGGGTGCCCTGAAACTAGTGGGTCCAACTATAACAGCATATTTTATTTTCAAAATAAGCCCTAGTTTCTGTATAAACATATCTCGAGAAACTCACCTGACGGAGCCATATGAGCTAAAATGAAATGAATGAATGAGAATGAAACTGTCTGCCAATATGCCTTGCCAAAATTTACTAAAATGCTAAAGTTTAAAAACTTTCTTTCTCAACCTGTTTCAGAAATATTAATAACAACTCCTTTAGTGTATATCACTCCGTTAGGCGCTTCTTGCCACATGTTTATATAGAAGACTAGGACTTAGTTTGAACGTAGAATATGCTGTTGTAGCTTGCAACACCCTGTATATTTGTCTTGCCTCATTTTTTTTGCCGTGTTCCTTATCGAAATATCAAAACAAACTTAACGTATCTAACTTCCCTTCAGTAGCTATCGGGATATTTCAATTTGCCAAATACCAAAATTTATTTGTTTATTTTCAATATTTACCCCATTTTGCAAACAATAGAGAAGTATAAATTGACAGTTCTTATATACTAGTTCCAATATATTAGGAATACAATAAAATAAAAAAGTCAACATTGTACACATTTTAAACTGCATTTATGCAAGCTATAGTTTGCGCCTCTAAACAGCATTAAACGCATCTTTAGATCTGGTGGTATCATAGAATATTGTAAAATTATATTAAACAATACAGGACAGTATTGTGATTAGTATATCCATTTACTTTAGTAATTCTCAAACTAAATGCAGTAATTTATAAGAAATAAATATCTGCACACCTGCATTGCCAATTGCCAGTGTGCAATCTGTAAAAAGGAAACCATACTAGTCTTGCATACTCCACCAAGGAACGAACAAAGGTTCTATGAAAGGCTCAGTGAAAAAATAGAGAAAAATAGCAGACACTCAGAAAAGATAAAAACATCTGCATGTCCCTAATTAAAAACAAAAATGGAGAGGTATAAACAACAGACAACGAACTGATGCAGAGATAGAGAGAATTTTTGGTGGAGCTATTAGGAGAAGCGGAAGAATTACAAGAAGAACCCGCGCAAGTATGCCATCGCGATAAACAAGATAATGAGTATATAACAAGAAAATAAATGCAACAAATAATAAAAGAATTCAAAAATGGAAAAGCACTGGTGTCCTATAAAATAACAAACAATATGATCAAATACGTTGGTGAAAGTGAAATGGATGTCCTTGTCAAATTATATAAACAGTGTGGAACGAATAATGCATACTTCAAAATTAGAAGACATCTCTAATAACTCTAATATTTAAGAAAGGGGATAAATTAATTAATTACAGTGGAATAAATCTCTGTGCAACAATAAGAATATATGAGCAAATATTGGACAGAAAAATAAGACCAGTGATCGAAAAATACTGTACAAGAATCTCAAAGTGGATTCAGAAAAGGAAAAAGTATGCAGAGTCATATATTCACGGTAAAACAAATAGCTGAAAAGGCAATAGATGAAAAGATTGAAATATATTTAGGCTTCATGACTTGGAGGAATCTTTTGATAATATACTAAGACAACTATTGAAAATTGGAAATATAATGTGGGCTATGGATACATGAGAAATATAAAAGTGTCCGAATTGGAACAGTAGGTCACAAGTTTCAATTACTTAGTAGAAAACAGGAAAAAGAAATAAATGACAGAATAGAAAAAACACTAAAACTGTACTTTGCAATGAATAAGAACTTCACAAGTATATAATAAATATGAACAAAAACAAAAATGTCTTCATAGACTAATTTTAATATTTGGTTGTAAATCATGGACAACAAAAAAGCATAATTTAAGCCCTGGAGATGAAATTACACCAGGCATATAAAACAGGTATGGGAAGCAAAAAGACAAAAAAACGTGGAAGACCAAGACAAACATGGGAGGGTATTATTGCTGAGATTCTTCATAAAGAGGCAAAACTTGAAGTGAAGCAACGGTTATGAAAACAAAAATGGTCAAAATTAATACATGAACATTAAACCAGTCATACTTAAGATGATATTAAAAATTGAAATGTAGGATATTGTAATAATATAAACACCATTATGTAACCTGCAGGGATTCTTGAAATAAAAAAGAAGAAAAAATGGAGAGTTTGATGTCAATTATTAATCCACGTCACTTCACTTCACTTCACTTCACTTCATTTAACAGCAATGGAAGTTATTTCATATTCAAATCAAATGGTTGAACTTTTTGTACAAAATGTGATGTAAAGTGATATTTATATTTAAACCGTGTAAGTTTGACCAGTGAAAAGTGGGTAACGCTCCTCGCGTGGTTTTAAATTGAGCTATTGAACATACATGAATTAATTTCGAGCAATTTATAAATATAAAGAAAGTGAAAATTATTAGACACATATTAGAAAAATGGACAAATTACTTTGGAGGTGTGTACGGACTTAGATTATTCATTTAAAGTCTTTCTATTGCATACGTATATACGTTTTTGGAGGTGGAGGCTGGTTTTTGGTAACATAACATGTGTCATTGCAGATCAAACGTCTCAAAAAATGTACTCCACTGCCTTTTGTGTAATTTTAATATTTTTTGTTTCATGCCGTTTTCGAGACAAAAAGAATTAAAACAGTTTATCGCACTTGACAAATTGGGTTTATCAATTTTTGCTAGAAAAAATAAGTCCTTTGGAAAACAAAATTTCTGAATGCAGGTTATTGCGTATTAGTAAGAAGAAGTAAGAAGGAATTAATAAAATATATTTTGCACTCTAAAATATCTCCTTTTTTTGTCGTGTTTCCGATTCTAGGGCAAGGCGTATCAACAACGGGTTCCTGTGCCAGCAGCTCGAACGGTAGCGGCGGTGCCGGCGGCTCCAGTGCCGGTGGCAGGAGAACGGCGACCAGTGGCGGCGCCGGAAGGCAACGCAAGGAAGGCGCGGTGCCGGCCGCCTTGTTACCGGCGCCCGCCGCCCGAGTTGCCACCACGGCCGCGATCATGGCCGCCGATCAACCGACAGCAGACGTGCCTAGTAACGGCTTATCAGGTACACTTCTTCTTAATCGTCTCCTCCCTGTCCTTCTTTAAGACTGTTTTTACGCCTACGCCTATTTCATATTTTTTGCAATTGTAATTGTAAAAACTTAGAAGCAACTTAAATGTTCAAAATTCGGGAGAGCGTTTTTAAAAACATTTATTACACAGAAAGCGAAATAAAGTTTTATTCGAACTGGCCGTTACAAAGGTTGGAATAATTAAAAGCGTATTTTACAATATTACAATCGAATAAATAGGGCTTTTGATGTGGTGTCAGGGCTTCATCTGCAGTTTGGGACATATAACTAGCACGTCGATTTTGTTTGGAAGAGGGCCACATTTTTGCTATTTCGAAAAGTTTAATAAAATCGTACCGTTTTTTTTTTAATTTTTTACCCAATTTTTATTATCTGCAAGTATTCTGGTTGGTAAGTCGGTACTACATACTTGCCCAAAGTAACTTTAAAATAACGTTATAATTAATGAATTTAATAAAAAAGCGAATGTGCATACAAAAATTAAAAAATTACCGAATTGCGGCTTACTTTTAAAATAAATTTCAGGATTTTGCGAAAAGTTACTTATCAAACCGGCTATCTCAAAAACTAGTCGACAAAATTTTAACTCAGTCTTAAAGGTGTAACAAAGACATTTAAAAAGAGGTGAAACCGGTGTTAAATGTGGCAGAACTACCTTATGGAAGTGTATTGAACACATGGGTTTCAGATTTAAAAAAAATGGCAAAAGGCAAGTTTTAATGGAATCTTTTAGAATTCGGAAATTGGGACTGGAATATCTAGAAAAAAATAGGATTTACAGAGAATAACAAAGGGCAATTATTTACTTGGATGAAACCTGGTTCGACACTTATGGTACCCCGGAAAAGGGTTGGGTTGACTCAACTGATAAGTGTAAAACAAACGCACCATCAAAAAGAGGTAGTAAAAGAGTAACTATTTTGCATGCTGGCTCTAAATTCCAACAATCCTAACTTTGTATTGTTTTGCTATTTGATTTATCTTTTCTGAGATTCCCTTCATGTATGGGATCTCCAATCCGTCAAAAACTAAATTCCGTTTTTTTTGAGCGAAACTCTGTATTTGGGAGTTCAGTACCAAAATTTCAAAACTAAATTTCGTCTATTCGTCGTTTTTACGACTAATTTTCTACTAAAAAAGGATGCCAGATAGTGGGCGCATGATCTTGGTAGTCGGGCCCAGCCGAGCGCAAATAGTATGCCCCTAAACGGAAGGTAGGCCGTGTCAACGAATATCATTTTGACGTTCGTTCGCAATGCCAATTTTGTTAAAATGTGCAATAGAAGTTTAGAATTGCTATCACTTGTGGACTCCCTAAACGAAATATTTTTGTGCATGGGTAATATTATTTCGAATAATAGTTTTACTTGCCGGCCATCACTAAAAAATTGTTGTCTTATACAAGTATTTATCTAAGTCAACAACTACCGTATGCGATTAAAGGCCTAAATGAATCGTCGCAATTCAAGTGCAGTCTTCGCAGGGAATTAGTAAGAACTGCGTATAAATTGCGTACATGCTTTTGAAAGTTAAATAAAGTAAATCGATTGAACGGTTGAATCTATATAAAATGTGTTAAATAAGTTTCAGAAGAGCCATCGTCGCCCCAGGAGGCGACGCAGGCGGTACCGACGACCGGTGGTCCTTCAGGTCCTGGGGCAGATTCAGAAAGCGATGACAGTGAAGTAGGCAGACTGCAGGCCCTCCTCGAGGCGAGAGGATTGCCACCTCATTTATTTGGAGCTCTGGGACCTCGAATGCAACACCTATTACATCGGAGCATGGGCGCCAATAACTGTATGTTTTTGTTTATTTATTTAATTTTCAAAGAAACTTGCACAGGTTACTGTAAGAATATTTACTTCTTTTGTTATTGCATCGCACTTGCTGTTTTTCCAATCATTATGCAGGGTGTTTTCTAATTGAATGTTAATTATTAAGGCGGCGATTTTTGGGTCTATCTTAAATTTTGAAATAAAGGGTGGTAAAGTTTTAAAAAATAAATTATATTTTTTTTAATACCTGGAATGCCACTTTAGATATTTTAATGAAATTTGGCACACATGTGCTATGCATCAAGAGGCTTTATTTAATGTACCACAATTAAAATACAACAGTGGTGGGCGTACGGAATTTCACACGTCTATTTTAGTAGACATTTATGGACGGCACTGATTTCTCAGAACATAAATATTATTCTTAAGTCTCCATTCATTTCTAAAGAAATTTAATTTCTTGATTTTTTTAAAATCCTATGTGCGGTTTTTGTTTTAAAAAATGAAAATCTCTCTGCCTCTGCTTGCTGCTGCTTTTATTTTTTAAGTGAAAACCGTGCGAGGACTAAAAAAAATAAAAGCTCAATTCTGCACATAAATAAATGCACAAATAATGTTTTGGTTAAGTAGGTCGCCACAGCACAGGTTAAATCGGGAACTTTTTTTTGTGAGAAATTAAATATCTATCTAAAACAAAATATCCAGTTTTTAGTTACCAACTAGTGTTCTTAAAAAATTATTAGAACAATGTTCTTTTTACTTTTACAGTTTTAATGAAATAACATTACATCCTAACAACATGATAAATAATAAACGGTTCTTATTAAAAAAAAAAAAAACACTACACTACACATTAATAATTTTTAACAAAATTTTCTGTTAATTAATAACAAACTTCTTGAAAAAAGTAGAACATAGTAGATAAGTTGTTGAAAGTGCATTTCACCTTAAAGTATGCACACTTCAGTTCTTTTCCTCATATTGCCGCCCAGTGTTTGAAGTATACCTCCAGTGTTTCTTATTAAATCGCAGAAAGCTTTTTTTAATCCTTCAGCTCTTCTACGGTGTTAACTAGGGTGTGATAAACCAGACTCTTAAGATGCCCCCACAAGAAAAAATTAAAATTATTTAAATCTGGCTAACTAAGGGACCATCGTTGAGAATTGAACTGAGGTGGCTTTTACTTGATGAAAATCCATTTAAGAAAATAAATAAGAACTAAAACTTCAGATTTTCACGAAATTATATATTTTGACATGACAATTGTTTCAACAACACCGTGTCTTTATCAGATGTAATATTTACAAACCACCTGTTACTATATATACCGAAAAATGACCTAAAAAACTTAATTAATGTTGTTTAAATTGTTGTTAATTAAATTGTTCGTGTTCTGTATTAGGTTTCGGATAAATAGAGTTTACTGTTGTCTGTATTTGTTTTTTATTTATAATTTTATCGATAATGGACGGATTATAGCCGTTGTTGAGTGCAATTTGTTTAATGATATTAAGTTCTTTGTTGTAATTTTCTATCGAGAGTGGTGTATTAAGAGGTATTTAATTCTCTTATACACAAACTTCTTAATACGCCACTCTCAACAAAAAGTTACAACAAAGAACTTAATATCATTAAACAAATTGCACTGAACAATCCGTCCATTATAGATAAAATTATAAATAAAAAACAAATACAGACAACAGTAAACTCTATTTATCCGAAACCTAATACAGAACACGAACAATTTAAAACAATTACATATGTAGCAGAACCTAGTGAAAAAGTTTCAAAACATTTGTCAAAATGTGGTTTAAAAATAGCTTTTAGAACTAACAACACAGTAGGAAAATATTTAAAAAACAATAAAACGAAATGTCCAAAATCTCAAAAAAAAACAGGTTCAAATGCGGATCTTGTCCTAAAATTTATATTGGACAATTAGGTAGATACTTCAAGAAACGCATTAACGAACATAAAAGAGCGTTTAAAAGCAATAGTGTAGATTCTAATTATGCAGCACACTTAAACACAGAAAAACACATTTTTGACGACAATTTTGATATTTTAGGTACAGTCACAAAAAGTTAAAAATACAATTTATTGGCAGCCATGGAGATTAACAAAATGAGACATTCAAAAGTATTGCTTAACGATCAAATAGATTTAAATACCTCACCTTTATTGAACTTAAATTCTCACAACAACATTAATTATGGTTTTATGGTCATTTTTCGGTATATATAATAACAGGTAGTTTGTAAATATTACATTTGACACGGTGTTGTCGAAACAATTGTCATGTCAAAATATATAATTTCGTGAAAATCTGAACTTTTTAGTTCTTATTTATTTTGATAAATGGATTGTCATCAAGTAAAAACCACCTCAGTTCAATTCTCAACGATGGTCCCTTAGTTAGCCAGATTAAATATAGTAAAGTGTCCAATTAAGTAATTTCCGACAATTCGAACCCAAACATTTACCTAAAACTGTTCTTGATGTTTAAATTCTACAACTGCATGGATGTTTTCATTTGGCCCAATATGTTTTTTCGTGGAAATTTCTAATTGCGTTTCTGGAAAAGTTAGCTTCATCTGTAAATAATATTTCTTCATGTCCAGTTTTGTCTAAAAACTATTGTCAAAAATTAACACGCAATATGAAGTGAGTACAATATAAAATCAAAACAAGAAAGACGGGTGGGATATTCGGATTATTTCCAATTTTTCTAGTATCAAGTTCAGGATTTTCATCAATTTAATTTAAAACTGCTTCTTCGAATTCTGAATTTCTTACAGTTTGATGGGCCCCTTTGAAATGATTATTTGCCCTCAAAGTTTCAGTCATCCTTCTATGTACATTTGAAAATGTTCTATGAGTCTATTAGGAAAGCCCTCTATATATAATCGTCTAGCTTCCGACGCATTGCCATATCTGCCAACTCCTCATTAGTAAACTAAACCATTCTTTATTAAAATAACAGCGCTCGGATATTTTAAACAGCAAATTAATAAGATGTGAGGAACTGAATTTTGCAAACTGATGTCAAACAACCAAACGCCTTCACAACATGGAGACACAGCTTACTGCAATGATAAGAAATAATTCTAGATATATCAAAAGTACATCTCAGAGTTTATGTACTTCAATTTTTTTGAAGAATTCTAATTAAATAGAAAGACAATTGCTTAAGTAAGAAGTAATAATGATAATAATTCTCTGCATGATGTTATATTATGACATGCAGAGAAGAGATTTTTATTCTTTTAAGCGAAAACTCCACACCTGATTCGAAAAAACAAGGGATTTCTTTAGAAATGATTAGAGATTGTAAGAATAATCTTTATTTTTCCTGAAATCCGTGGCGTACCAACAATGTTGGCCAAAATAGATAGGTGAAATTCTGTACGCCCGCCACTGATGTATTTAAAAAAAATTGTGGTACACCAGTGCCTCTTGATATATTGTATACGTCTGCCAAATTTCATTAAATTATCTGTAGTGGTATTACAGATATTAAAAACATATATTTTATTTATGACAACTTTACCAAAAGTTAAGACGTTTGGGACATATGCTCCTATGGAGTTTTCTTTTTAAAAGGCATTCAAAAATCGCCCACTTAATTATTGATATTCAGTAAGAAAACAACTTGTATTGGCTTCTTCAAAGCTTACCTAAAAAAATGCATGTCTGGAACATATTGTAACGGTCAAATATATAAACAACCTGACACCTTCTATCCAAAACGAAAATTTGGAGACATGGTCAAGAATGCCTCGGAGATTTTCTAACCATTTAAACTCTGTACACCCTGACATACATTTTACCATTGAATTAGAAACTAATAATAATCTTCTATATTATATATTATCAATAGAAAATCAGACCTAACATTGGCTCATTCAGTTGGCCGAAAACACACAGATAAATTATCACATCTTCATCCAGCACGCAAGTTATCGGTTGCCAATTCTTTGAACCCAGAATTAAAACACCACACACCTACTTTTATCGCAAATAATCTCCACATTACAGACATTAAGCGTTCCATTTCAAAATATACTTCACCACAACCTCCTAAACAAATTTAGTTAGAAAGCAATCTAACATTGCCACTGTGCTCATTATTTCTTACATTAATTGGAAATCATTTAAACTTTTTAAAAATATATATTAGTTTAAAGTTGTTTTGTAAATTCAGCTTAAAATCCAATTGTTTTCATTTTTTAGTAGGTCATAGTAAATCAACTAAACTAAAGGAACTAAAAATAAGATATATCTACGCAGTTATTACTGTACAAGAGACTCTTTAATGGATTTCGAAAAACAGGATGTAGTTTTTCAGTTTTAAAAATAATGTATATATATATATATATATATATATATATATATATATATATATATATATATATATATATATATATATATATATATATATATATATATATATATACATTATTTTTAAAACTATTTTCATCATTTGTAGCCGTCCTGTTCCTATCTCTTTTAGGTTTTATGAAGCTGCCATATTCTCTTAAGTTTTTACATAAACTTGAAAAGGTTTTTGCATCGGGGACCCTTCTATGCGGATAAAGCCGTGCGTAAACTCTTTTTGCTTCTCTTCAATTGCATCTGCATTCTCCAAACACCAGTAACATGTCTACTTTTTCCTCATTGCTAAATTGCACCATTTTCGCATAATAATTCTTAGTTTTTTTAAACCGAACATATTTTCTTGTGACAAAATGTGACAATTTTTTGATACAGCAATAACAACTTATGTTTGTAATTGCACTTATAACAACTGCGATAACAATGGTTGCCATAGTAACTAACATTCATGGCATACTTGTAAAAATAAGCGTTAATCACATTTTTTATTAATCAAGAAATGTTTACTTTAAATCGGTATAACTTAGAAACGGTTAAAGTAAATAAGTTTGAGTAAATAACAAAAAAGTTTTTAAATAATATGTACTTTTGTATGCGCGTATTTCCAAAGTCTCTGCAATCGAATAATTTTTCGACGCGTCGCGACGCCCAGCTCTTTGCAGGCGTCGAATTTTTTAAACTTTAGGAAATATCTACTTGACCCCACACTTTGACTACTTTTTACATAAATTAAATATTTCTTTTCGTTTTGGACTTATTGGCGTGCGGAGTTTTAAGTGAAAAACCCTGTATATATATATATATATATATATATATATATATATATATATATATATATATATATATATATATATATATATATATATATATATATATATATATATATATATATATATATATATATATATATATATATATATATATATACAGGGTTTTTCACTTAAAACTCCGCACGCCAATAAGTCCAAAACGAAAAGAAATATTTAATTTATGTAAAAAGTAGTCAAAGTGTGGGGTCAAGTAGATATTTCCTAAAGTTTAAAAAATTCGACGCCTGCAAAGAGCTGGGCGTCGCGACGCGTCGAAAAATTATTCGATTGCAGAGACTTTGGAAATACGCGCATACAAAAGTACATATTATTTAAAAACTTTTTTGTTATTTACTCAAACTTATTTACTTTACCCGTTTCTAAGTTATACCGATTTGTATATATATATTTCTATATATTATTATATATATTATATATATATTTCTAGTTTGTGAGTTCTTGGATCCTTTTGATTTTATATATTCTTAAGAAATGGTTCTTGGGTTTTTTTTGGTCCTTTTTTAGTGAAATTAAAATAAGTTTCCGTTACTTGTGAAACATTTTATTTTTTGTAACGTTTCGGCCTTCAAGACCTTCTTCAGACATTTAATTTTAACCTACAAAAATGTATTTTTAAATAATATTATTTATAGCATTGTTTTCCTGGTCATAATTAAAACATAGATAAAAATTTGTATAGGAGTCAGCATTGAAATGATTAAAAATTACTAGTGCAAGTCAATAGAACAAACAAAGTTATTAAAAATTGTATAAAAATAGATGCACAACAATAAAACATACATAATTTTTTAAATTACGATTACATACATACCTTAAGCCAAAAATCAACGGTTCACTATATAGTTGTTTGGTAATTTACAGTTTTACAACATTAGGATATAGGAGTTTCATTTATATTAGTTATTCAAATAGATGACACACACCCACACCGCTTCACGATATATTTGGTCGTCGGGTAGGCACAGGTACTTTATTCAACCACGTCCTGAAAATTATTTGAAGGAGAATAGGGAGCAAAGGGAAACACTTATTAGGTTACATATACATACATATACGCGGTCATCATCTTGCAAAGACATAGAACAAGCAGTGGGGGTACCAAAATCGACTGCCCAAAAAATTTTTAAAAAATACAAATACCATCTATACAAGTTTATGACTGTTCTTTTGGGAGACTTGTAATGTGGTCCAACGAATGTTACTTTTGAAGTTTGTGAAGTTTTAATCGCCATAACACGAGGAACTAGACGAGAGAAAAGCAGCATTTAATTTTTAGAAGGGCTTTAGAGTTGGAGTATCCTGTTTTGGGACAACAAATAGCCTACCCAATTTATGAATTAGGTCTTACAGCACATAGGTACCTAGACATTCTTGAGGAAGTCATTCGAGAATTACTCGAAGATATTCCCTTGATATATTCAGTCATAACTCTGGACTTTTAAGACTTTTTTTGGATAGGTACCAACCGACCTGTAAGATGGCCTCCGCGATCGCCGGATCTTTCAGTTTTAGATTTCTTTTTATGGAGATATTTGCAAAATAAAGTATATAAAACACGATATAAGCAGCACAACTTCGAAGGACAATTGATTTTTTGAAACTCTACAAAAAAAACGAATAATTCTTTTAAATGTCATTAAAGAAATAAGAAAAATGTGTATTTCAGGTATAATATTATGTTAATATTCTTTGGATATAATGTTATGGACTATAATAAATTGAGATTTATTACAAATAGTAGTTCATAACGTATAAAACACATTTAAATAATTGAATTTTAAGTATTGAGTTTCTTATATGTTATTAATTGTTTACTTGGATATGGTTTTAATAGATTAATCATGCTGCTGTTTCAAATGAAATAAAATATGAAAAAATAAATTTTCAAAACAACTTTATACTAATATATATTTCTGAAAAGTGTAAATGATTTCCAATTATTAAGAATGTTTTTTAAACTCTTCAATAACTTAAAACACAACGGAGATACGAGGGTGGTCCCAAAATCGATAGTTTTGTATTTCACTCTGTGTCTCAAAAACGAAAAGGGCGATGATAATTTTGTTGACTGCATCTTTAATTTCACAAAAAAGTAGCATAGTATCGCGCAAACCGCAACTTTCTATAGTAAAAAATAACCGAGATATAGATATATAGATAAAACCGTCCAAAACCCGGTACATTGGAGAAACAGGACGAAAATATTAACTAGGCTAAAAGACCATGGAATCAAGTATACTGAAGTTCGAGGTGGAAGAACCCGTAACACTCCTCACGTTAAATAAAGCCCCAGGAGCAGATGAGACATCAGCAGAGATGGTAAAGTTTTTTGGAGAAGGAGGTGTCAAAATAATATACCATCTGCCAAAGAGTATGGCAGTCCCGACAATGCCCTAAAGATTGGACTAATGTCACACTCTCGAAGACTGCAGAAGTATTTGACATATCAAATACTTCCTGACCATGCTGGCTTTGTAAGAAGAAGAAGAACTAGAGAAGAAATCTTAACATACGTCAACTCAGAAAAAATCTCAAAAAATCAACTCGCCTATGTTCCTGTGCTTTATACATAATACTGCAGTTGTCAACCGACATGATAAACCATCGGAGTACGTCAGGGTTGTATACCGTCACCCATTGTTTATTGCTACCATAATAGCGAAAAGGAAAGAAAAAAATTGTCGGAATGCTAGAAAGAATCACCATCGACCGTAACAAACTTGGTCATGAAATAAACGTGGATAAAACCAAACTGTTGCTGATTGACAGAAGCAACGCGGTATACCTACACAATCACATCCCAAATATCGAAAGATTAAATTTATATACTTAGGGTCCCTAAAAGCAAACACCGAGAGTTGTGAAGCGGAGATAAAAATTCGTATAGCAATGTCTCGGCCACATTTCTATATCAGTCTCACGAAGAGATGATTTCTTAAAAAACTAAGAGTGCAGAGTCAAATAGTTAGTTACAGGTTACATTATATTTCAATCAAATATTCGAGAGGCGGAAGATCGTCTACAATAATGCCAAAAATCCCACATGACTTTTCAGGCTTAAAGAGACGACGAAGAAGAAGATAAAAGAACATGAACGAGCCTTAAGACTACGCAAAATAAACTTATCCCCAGTTGACGAACACAATCGTGAAACCGGTCATCAAATCTTATTCGATAAAACTAAAATTATTGCGTGTAATCAATTGTTCTACCGACCAAAAAATCCGAGAATCTATAGAAATATATCCAACCAAACAACTTTAACCGCGAGTCAGGTCTTTAGCTTTCCGAGACAACGTTCACGTCTATCCTTTCGCTACGCTCCTCTCAAACAATATACAAGCAGGTACAGAGTAGAATGCGAGGCAGTTTCAGTTAAGCTCTGAAGAAGCCGACAGGATGTTTGTCGAAACATCAGGAAGTTCGGTTCATCAACAACCAGCGCCGGAGCACTCCTGAAGATTTATCAACAGTTTATGTTTATTATTCATATGCAGGGCGAACGAAAAGAGTATCTGCGCTTAAGATGACAGTCAATAGTCGTAAGAGCTTATGCGAATTTTATCGGGACAATTGATTCAACAATCCATTTTTTGGTGTTTACAAAATAAAGTGAAAGTGAATAACTAAAATATGAAGTTAAGATTCACTATGGTTTTTAGAAATTGTCACTAGTACTGTCATGTATTTCCAAGCAGAGTGACACCGTCACTTTTTTGCACTAACCTGGCATCTGAACAAAAATTAATCTACATACCGGGTGCCCCGGTAAGAGCACCCAGGTACGGCATTAGAGAAACGGATTAGGCTAAAAACTTTAAAACAATGTATTAAGAAAATCGAGTAAAGGAAGTGGAAATTATTTTTGATGTTCTGAAGTGACCACTATTGTTACCTTGAATTTTAAAACTCTACAAAAATTTCCAATATTAACGATTGTTGAAATGAGTACTATTTTAAAGCTGAGGCATATTGAAATCTTTTTTGTTTAATGCTGTTTCATAAATAAATGTCCACAGGCTTAACGCATATAAAATAAAAAAAATAATTTTCTGAAAAAATAGTATATGCGATTATATGCGATATGACTTATTTTATGTCATTAGGTGGTGCAATAGAGGCCTAACCAATCATCTCAATATCTTTATCCGTATCTAAAATATGAATAAAGAAAATTAAAGCGCAAGAAAGAAGCCTTTGCATAACTAATAACCTTAAAAGGTGATATAGCATTTGTGGTTTTAAAATATGTAATTGATCTGGGTCCCTTACTATGACTGTTTGTTATCTCTATCGTAGCGTTAGGGGCTTCGATGCAACTAAATTTGCTTAAGCGCTGTCAATATTGGAAACACCGTTACCATTTCTTGACAAGTATATTAAGCGTTTTAAAACATGCCGATTATTGGTTTCAGCTGTGGCCAGAGCCCAGGCGCTCATTCCTGGATTGCAAGCTACCGGCGATGAGGGTCAGCAGTTGCAGGCGGTGATTGAGATGTGCCAAGTTCTAGTTATGGGTAATGAGGAGACGCTCACCGGATTTCCTGTAAAGCAAGTCGTTCCCGCCCTGATAAGTCTACTGGGGATGGAACACCACTTTGACATCGTAAGTTTTACAATACCTTCTTAACTCGGATGAATGCGAAAGGTGAAAAGATTTACAGATTCTATTATAAACTTGTTTTCTTCTTCTTCAAGTGCCCTGCCCTAATGGAGTGTTGGCGTTTAAAAGCATAACTTGAACTTTATCGATGAACTTTCAGTACAGAGATGTATGTAACTCTCTCTGTCCGTACCACTGGCGTAGGTTTTTCAGCCACGATGATCTGAGGCGGCGTTTATCCTCATACTTTTCGGTAGACAATGACGTGTAATAGTTTTTACTTGTAGTTACGCATAATGTAACCAAAACTTCTCTTTCTTTGTTTATTTGATAAAGTACTTCTATGTTTGTAATTTTATCTGTCGAACTACGATTTTGGATCACCTGGAACGAGCCATTGCGTTTTTTATCATTGAGCCTGAGGTTTATGGATTTGCTCTGTTCCATAACTGAGGTTAAGAGTTGTTGCAGGTCTGTTATGTTTGTGGTAAGTAAAACTCTCTCATCGGCATATTTAAAGTTTTTGATGTTCAACCCGCTTGTTTGTCGTCCAGAACTTCACCTAATATTCTTTCTGGCACATGTATAATAATTGGGTCAGAACGCAGCCCTCTCTTAATCTGTCTCAGTATAGTATCTATTTCTAGAACTGCTTGAGATTCCTCCACCGCTCCACATTTTCAACATCTGTCCTCGACTTTCAATGTTAGGCAGTGTTTTTCGTAGTTGTCCTCAATGGTCATGACAAACCCCTCCGTTTCTGGGTGCAGTTGGTATCTTATTATTTTAAATATTAAAACAAGATGTGTTTCGTGATCGCTTCCGTGATGTTTTTGACCTGGGGCTTAAATTAAAGCATATACATAGTATTTTGTGTTTTCTGCTACCGAACCAAGACATCATTGTTCATTGGAGTTCAGTAATAGATAACAACCATTAATATATATTATGTTCACAATTTAGCCTAGAGTAAATGCAACTCAGGTGCAGCCTTTGATAAAGTTTTCCTTGGCTGTGTATGTGTTTGCAAACATATTTTTATAAGTTTATTTTGACAGTGTCCCATATATACCTACATACTAAACTGTCCAGAAATATTGTAGAGATAGAGAAAATAGTTTTATACCATGGCATTGCAGTTTGTTGAGATATTTTAAACACTGTCAAAAATTAACTAAACTTGTTGAGAATAAATTATAACCCAATAGACTTTATAAATATTGTTGTGTCATCTGCTGTACCTTTGTTTTTGGTCAATCGTTGTGGTTTATTTAATGATTCTTTGTTTCCTGTGTTTAATTTAATAAAGTTTTTTTGATATTTAAAACAATTTGCAAGTTTTTATTTATTTTGTTTTTAAAATTATTTTATATAATTAATATATATAATAATAATATAATTAATTAAATTGATAGCAAATCCAGTGGCAACTCAATTAATTTCCTATTTCATAGCCTCCTAGTTTTTTGATAGCAGGCAACACTACAATATTTCTCGACAAATCACAAATCGAAGTTGATTTCGTAATATGACCACTCTGTGTGATCAGAAAAGTTATGTTCTAACAAAATGTCTAAACAAATTATAAAACTATTAATTTTTCAAAGAAACTTACACAAGCTGTAAAATATTATTTACAAATAGTCTGAATTCCTCCCGCGTCAGTTGATGAATCGAAGTCCAGAGCTTAACTGAAATTGGTTTGAATTCTACTCTATACCTGTTTATATACTGTTTGAGGAAGGCGGAGCTAGAGAAGGGGCATGAACATTGTGTTGAATGACTGATTCCCATAACCGAATGTTCTTTGGTAGACCAGTTGATTACATACAAAAGTTTTAGTTTAATCGAATAAGTATTGATGTCCGGTTTTATGATTATTTGATTATGAATGTTGTAAATTCCTGGTATTTTATACATCATTGTGTCTTTACTGTATCGAAAATGTTGAGAGATTATTGAACAGGCGGTAAATGTGATTTAGAGTATTTCTTAGAAACTTATGATATGTGGTCAGTAGTTTTTTAATATAAGGGAAGGGGAAAAATTGGACGAAAAATATCTAGCTTAAGGGAATAATAAAGAGTCATAAGAATACGAAAAATTATCTCTTTCCTTTTTCATAATCTTACCAAACTAAAATTATTTTATGTAAGCAATTATTTTAGCAAATTCATTGATTCGTAGAAATCTCTAAACAACTAATCAATATTAACCGCTTCACACTAATATGCGAATCAGTCATCCGATATATGAATGCCCCTCCTTTAGCTCCGCCTCTCTCAAATCTTATATAAGCACGTACCGAGAAGAACACAACAACCGGCGCAGGAGAAATTCAAAAGGTTTGAAATAGTAACTTTTTGTTAAACTTGTTACTATATTTCTGCTAGATATTCAGCGGGTAGTTTTATCCCAACGCGGTGTTCATTTGGTTGGTGTTTTTTTATTCAGATGAACCATGCATGTCGGGCATTGACATATATGATGGAGGCTTTACCAAGATCATCAGCGGTGGTTGTGGATGCGGTGCCGGTGTTTTTGGAAAAATTGCAGGTCATTCAGTGTATGGATGTTGCGGAACAATCGCTAACAGCGTTGGATATGTTGTCGCGAAGGCATTCAAAGTCCATCCTCCAGGCGGTAAGTGGAGTTCAAATTTTATTTCGATATCTAAGGATCCAAAAGTCGGTTTACGTTCTCAGATTCCTGACTTATCTAATTTTGCTTCTGATTTGTTATTCGAGTTAATGTCATAGTATCAATTTTTTTAAAGAAACCCACTGTTGCTAAATGTATTATTTTTGTTATTGTGTTTTGGAGTGCGGTAAGGTGACAAAATGAGAAATAATTTTTAAGAAGAGCTCCACCAAATACGAAATATAAATAATTTGCTATATTTATTCATTTATCACTAATTTTACACTCTTTGTCGTTATTTTGAGCTTGGATTCTGAGTTTGACCTACTTTTCAAAGTGAAATAAAACACGAAAATATAACACACATAACATAAATATAAAATATCATGGTAATAGGTGCTGTTCTAGTCCGTACTAGAAAAATAACAACTTCAAAATCAAATAGAAAATAAAAAGAATCCAACGATGAAAAATATATATATCTATATATATGAAATAAAATAGTTGTTTTATTGTACAGTCTTTCATTGCATTGCATGTAGCTTCCTTATTTTAATTAAAACACCCGATATATTATTCAAATTAACTTCCACAGGCTACTGTAATATTTGGAAGGTTCCTTCAGGTTTCCCTACACTTATTCCCAATACGATATCTTGAAAAATTTAAATATTTTGTGACCTTATTTTGTCGCGCCTGTTAACTATGCACCCAAGGATCATTCTTTCCAAATTGGCAGCGAGAATTGATTTGTCGTTTACCGGATGTCCAAAGTCATTTTCAAAGCTATAAAACTTATTTTTTTCAAATGCGACACCCTATATATTATTTTATGGTTTGATGCATAATTTTATGGTGTAGCATATGGTTATGGTTATGGTTTGTTATGTATTTCCCTATACCTGGTTTTACTGCATAAAAGATGCTGCGAACTCTTTCTAGGCCTGTAAAAAGTTTAATACAAAAGGTGTAGCGTTTATGGTGTAGATTTAATGTTACATGCTTATTTATTTTGGCAAAAAAGCATAGCATATCAAAGTTTCTTTTGTAATTGGAAGGAAATATTAAAAAAAATGTATAACATGTTATAGCTATTTTTTACATTAAGGCCAGAATTTATTTATTTATTTATCAACGGGCCAACCGCCCAATATAAAATAGGATTCACATTAACAAAATAGTAAACAACAAAATAAAATAAAATAAAACAAAATTAAAACAGAATGAAATAAATAGATGAGATAGTCGAAACGATAGTAAGGACACTTATAAGAGTAGCGAGGCTTCAACACAATGGTATACAATATTATTGCGAGGAAAAGGGGATTAGTTTTACCGACAGTCTTTAAGTTCTTTCTAAAATATTCTTGCACTCTGGAAGTAGTCAAGTTGGCCAGAAAAGCGATTCGCTAGTGCAGCTGACCTAGTAAGAAAAGAACTCTGCCCATAGTATGATGGAACTCTACCTGGTCTGGCGGGGGGGAACGCGTAGCCCAATCTTACATAACAGCTTAGGTCCATGGGAATTTGAATGCAGTAAATAAAAAAATAAAAAATGGTGAGATCCTTCTGCATGCGACGAATCTGAAGAGTTGTAAGTTGGAGAGAGTTTTCCAATCAGCGTAATCAACGTCTTCAAGTCCTTGGTGCTCCTTAAATGCTATATACCGCACGAACCTCTGCTGCACTCTTTCTATGGCCTGTATGTGGACGTTATACGAAGGTGACCACACACAGGAACAATAATCCAGGTGTGAACGCATGAAGAAGCAGAACAGTAATCTGAGAGAAATAACACTCTGGAAGTCCACTGTACAACACTTAATAAAGCCCAAAATCTGAAGTGATTTAGACAATAAATGAAACATGGTGTGTGTAAGTGAACTTAATATCGAGTAACACTCCAACACTCTATTATTACGGAGATCTGCAATAACAGTGTCCCTTTTATGTTATACGTAAAATGTATGGGGTTAGTTTAGATAGATAAGAAAATCCTTTTAATTCCATAGGCGAAGGGCGAAAGTATTGTGGATTTGCTGAAGAGTAATAATTATAAATTCTACCCTTTTAAATCTCCCAAAGTTTGACATTTGGCTAAAGAAAATGAGATTCAGCCATTAATTTTGTGGACATATGTTGTAAATGAAAAAACTTACTCCATGCTCTTTTACTTCATTTGGCAGATTTACATGGCCTGTTATTTCTAATCCCAACTATTGATCTGTTTTTAACGGTTCTTTAGATATTACCTAGCATTTGTGCTTTACCTTGATTACGGGCATATTTAGTTCTTTCGTTTTGGTTTCAGAGAATATAATTCAGCAGCATGAAAAAAGTATAAGCAGTTCTGGGAAGGTCTTCTATTATTTTGTCTGTAAACATATTAAGTATGAAGGCTGAATGAATCACGCTATCTAATTTGCGCGTTGTTTTGATATGCTCTACTCTAATGTTTGTTCAGCACTTGATGTTAATGTCGTATATTATCATAGCATCGATCAAATATTTTTCCTATATCAAAAATTAACTAGGTGTTTCATTCAATAAAGAGCAGTTATTCAGTGTAATCTCTTTTGGGAGAATACCTTCGGGAATATTGAAATATGTCAGACTAAGGAAGGTGTCGGCCTATGGGAGAAGTATAAAAATACGTTTGGTAGATTTCTATTGTTTTCTCATACTCATACATATTAACAAACACATGTTGTAACAATAAATAAAAAATAGAATACATAACAAATATAAATTAGATAATTAGAATTCAAAAAATCAATTAGAGTAGTTTGGGGCGTGTTAGTTTTTAGTATGTTGTCTTGAAAATGTAATTAATCTAAATAATTTTTTTCAACGCCCGTGGCATTTGCGTTTCGCCATATTTCGGATAAAGCTGACTTCCGCGAAATCATCTTTTTGCAGATATCAACATTACTTAACGTAAATCCTGCCTGTTGTAAGCACTTTTTATTGTATCGTGACTTCTGAATATTGCTTTAGTTAAACCGTGAACCTTATATTGATTAAAAAACTCTTACTTAAAATGGCCAGGTAAAATATTTTAAAATTTTGGATCGTGTCTTGCTCTAGCTGTTGGATAACAGATATGCAATTCGGCGGTAAAAAATAAGTTGAATGTTCTTTAACCGGATGCGGGGTAGCATTACCAAAAAATGGCAGAATGTATCTTTCTTTACCCATTTTTGAATTAAAATCTTGCCACCATTTCTTCCATTGTAGTGGATGTTATCCAAGCCCTCTTATTACTTTTCCACATATCGGGCAACTTATTCATATGTTTCTAAATGGCATTGGATGTTTGGATTTGCCAATAACCAATAATTATTCTCCTGCTAGATTTACGCAATACGTAATGGTGGGTCTTGGATCATTTTCAGCCCATAAATTTTTCACGTTTAATTGATAACGTTTTCTCAGGCAAAGCTCGAAAAAAAAAACTATTTCATCCGAAAAATATATCAATGCAAATATGGAAATCATTGCGTTTTCTCTAAAAGCATGTATTACTTTTTGGTCTCGAAATAACCACTCTTCGATAATCTACAAAAAAAAAAAGTAACGGAGCCGTACCAACAAAAAAGTTATAAGGAAAAAAGCGAGATTATAGGACGTAACTAGCGTCATCGAATAACAATTTTTAAAAAAGAAATTGTTATTTCTTGATGACCCCACCTCCCACCAGTTTTTGAAATATGGGCATGAAAGCTATCATTCGGGTTTTTTTCGAAATAGTGAAAACGATTACATAGATAGGAGAAATCGCTGGCCCATAAAATGGTTCATTAAGGATAAACAGGCTATGGAACACATTCACTTTAATTTTTTAACGAAACAGTTAATATTGCAGTGACCTGGGAAGTTTCTTTGAAACATTAACAAACCTATATGAACAGGTCATCAAGCGCAAAAAGCAGAAAGTTAGATCACCCCCTGAAACTGGTAAGATTACTCTGTACGTTGTACGTGCCTATAAAATTTTTCGTAAATCTTGTCCCCATCCAACTTTGAGACCCTTTCAAACATGATTCATGACCAAGCTGAAAATCTTCGCTTATCTTCTACCCAGAGTCATATTCAAAAATTTGAGAAACTAACATCAACATTAGTGAAACCTTCAACTCTTCTCAGCCATCAAATACTGTGGTAAATATATCATGCCATCAATTTTCTGAGACGGAAAAATCAGTTCTTGCTAAAGGTCCCACATATTACCCCAAAAGATAAAATCATTTCAAAAGTCGAGCCTATACTCAACTGAAATCTTAAACAGCCAATGAAATTCGATTTGAAACCGTAAAAATCCTTAAAAAAAAAACAGTTCTCATAAATCTAATATTTCAAAGCCTGAAGGCATTGCTCTAAAATCTCTAAAATATAATTCCGATATCGTAATTCTAAAAGCAAATAAAGGAAATGCTAGTCTGTCACTCCTCAGGACTCTAAAATTCGTCGTCTCTGTGGGAGACTCTCTAAGATTTACAAATCAGGATTCGACCTCTTGTCAGCACCATTGGTTCTTCAGCATATTTTCTAGCAAAATTTCTAGCTTGTATATTAAAACCCTTTACAGGGAAAACTGATAGTTTTGTACTTCCCTTTTTCCTTCATTCCATTGAACAAATTACAAACCATTACATTGGATACAAACTATTTTCTGATTAGTTTCGACGTAGAAGCTCTCTTTACTAAAGTTCCTATTCCTGAAACTCTCAACATTATTTCAGATATATTAAAATCCGATAAAATAAAATCTCGTCCTAATTGAAAAAGGCTTGTCGATTTATGAACAAACATAAGAAACTGCTATGGGTTCTCCATTATCACCAATAATCACGAATATATTTATGGAAGCCCTTAAGAAGCAAGCCCTCGACACCTTCCATGTAAAACCAAAATTATAACCTCAACCTCAAGGTCAAGAATCTCTTCAATATTTTCTTAGCTATTTAAAATCTATACACCGTAACATTGAATTAGAAACTAATAATAATCTCCCGTTCTTAGATAATGTTATCTATAGAAAATCAGACCTAACATTGAGGCATTCTGTTTGTAGACATACAGACATCGGTCTGCATTAAGGTATCGACCTTAGTGCATTTTTATATCACCTTCCGGTCCAAACAGAGCCGTAAAACTATCATAACCCGAGTCACTGAACCCAGTACTAAAACATCTTTTATCGGTTCTTCTCCCTAATAATTTTCACATTAGAGAATTTAAGCGTTCCATCACAAAATGCACTTCACAACCTTCACCAAGCAAGCACACAGTTGCCACTGTTGTCCTGAGAGGACGAAAATAATCAACTAGGCTCCAAGAACATGAAAGAGTCTTACATGTAATCAGTTCTTTTACCAAAGAAAAATCCAAGAACCTATAGAAATCTATAAGCAACCAAACAATCTTAACCGCGACTCAGGTCTTTACCTTTCACCAGTATGGGAATCAGTCATCCGAGACTACGTTCATGCCCCTCCCTTAGCTCCGCCCCCCTTAAACAATATATAAGCAGGTACAGAGTAGAAGGCGAGCCAAACGTCAATAACTTTGATTTATAAATAAGCGACGCAGGATATTGTGTCCGCGTCCACCCAAGATTGATTACGTCTTATTGAATTCCCCATACTTAATTCCGGACTATCAAAAAGTGTCCGCTCATTGGAGGTGTCCATTAAGAGATATTTCACTGCATTTAATAAATTTTGTCAATAAAATCAACCGTTACGGATATATGTGAGATAAAATATATAATGATCATGTAGTAGTAACTTATAATAGTAAAATATATTGTTTTTAGCACGGCGTGTCAGCTTGTTTGATGTATTTGGATTTCTTCTCGATCAACGCCCAACGTAATTCGCTGTCTGTAACGGCCAACTGTTGCCTAAATTTGGCCTCCGAAGAATTTCAATATATTCAGGATTCGCTGCCCCTCCTGGCGTCCCGTTTGACCCAGCAGGACAAAAAATGCGTGGAAAGTGTGTGTTTGGCGTTTTCCAGATTGGTGGACAGTTTTCAGCTGGAGCCGGCCAAGTTGCAGGAGATTGCGAGCACGGTCCTCCTCACCAACGTGCAACAATTGCTTGTCGTTACACCGCCCATTATTAGTACGGGAACATTTATCACAGGTAACATAGACAATCTCTTCAGGAATTAAATTGTGGAGTCGTTTCGCGAAATAATTTCACGAATGTAATGCTCGTCAAAATATTCACGCAGTCCAAATTTTGCGTCAATTCTGTTGAAAAAGCAATGTTAGTATTATTAATCAATATGACCATTTTTTTATCATATACCATAAAAGATAAATATAATTACCGTCATAAAACAATGAAAATTAACTTCTATACTCTACAAACTTTCTGCACAAACAAGGAATATGAATAAAGATTTAATATTACATACTTATTATTATATAGTGCGTCAGTGATACAAACTACCCGTGGAAGCCAGATCAGCCAGTTAAGTAATCTATAAATCCTTATATAATTCTAGTTGTATAAAGTAATATTTATGGATATAGAAGAATACAATCTTAATGAATGAATCTTAATTCAGGGTTTTTGATTGATTTGATATCAGGAATATTATGTAAAATATATTAAAATTGGAAACGATGACAAGTGCTTTTACAAACAAACCAGATGTAATAATATGTAGTTAAGGATGGCTCGTTTTATAAACAACAGTCGAATAAATAATAAAGCGGATGGAGTGGATCATTTATGTTAAAACTAATTTACAGCATCGAAACTTAAAATAACATTTATTGAATTAAAAGCCGCTGGTATACTTATTCAATTAATCATTAAAGGTATTTTCAAAATCTCTGGAATTTATTGTTGTCATGATTATGAAATCAATAAAAACATTCAAAATCACATAATAACGGGGAATGTTAATTTAGATAATGAGTTTAACTGTAAAAGAGGAATACTTCTACTACCTATTGCAAAATAGTTATGATCTATGGAGGTGGTTCAAAATCTTAGCAAAAGAGAAAATTGTTAATTATTTTTACATCCTGCATAATTATTGAGACCCACATGATAAGAATGGTTTTGACTATAGTTATTTTTTTATATCGAGTCCAGAATTTGCCAAAAATAAAAAAGACTGTAGGTCGCAAATCACAAACTATAGAGCTATTTCCCTTATCTGCAATTTTTGTATAGTTTTAGAATCTCCTACAGGACAAAATATTTCATGTTGTTAAGAACCAAATAGTCCCCCAACAACATGTTTTTTTTTTAAAGGAAGATCCACCAATACCAATTTAACGGTGTCATATATCTTGATTTTTCAAAAGCGTTTGATCGCCTAGATCACGAAATTCTAGTCCACAAGCTCCGTGCCTTTGGATTTTCCGAATCGCTTGTTATTTGTTTTCTTCAAACTTGTCTAACCACACTCAGTATGTCTATCTCTATGGTCTCTAAATAATAACTTGCAGCTTAATACAGCCAAGTTTAATGTCTCTTTTATCATGAGTGCAGCTGTGAAATATGACATCTTTTTGATGAAACTCTTCCGTTCTAACACTTTTTGTAACTTGGCAGTAATATTCGACTCGAAATTATTCTTTATTCCTCATGTTAATAAGGAACTGGCAGAAACCTCAAAAAGATATGAATTTATGGTGGACCAGAGACTTTCAAAATAGAGAAGTGATAAAAATGTTATATAACTTATTAGTCAGGTTGGAGTATGTTTGTTTGTTCGACTCGATTTGGACCTTTTTTCGCAATCTATTACTAAAGTAAAAACGATGTTGTCCCGTTAACTAATTATTAATTTCAGTCTTTTCCCATTCTCTTGTTTTTTTTTTTAGTGTTAATGGCATATCAAACATATTAATATAAGTATTATACAGTCATATGCTTCAACCTCAAAAAGCTCAGATCAGGAAGTAAAAATATTCTGCGAACCACTATGAAATGCAACAAGAACCCGGAGGTCAATATCCTGGTAGGGGATTTCAGTGCTAAGGTGGGCAGAGGTTCTGTTGATGGTGTTGTTGGAAATTTTAGTCAGGGTATAACAAATGATGGGGGAGTTTTGTCAAGAAACAGACAGTGCGATAACGAACACCCTTTTTCAACTACCACCTCGACGATTCTACAGATTGACTTTATCATCATATACGACATCCTGTCAAACCATAACCTTCTGCTGCAAAGTCAAAATACGTAGAAAGAAAATCCGTAAAAGAAAACCTCAAAAAGGAAGTTAAAACTAAACAACAATATTAACAGCATGTCTCTAGATCTAAATAAATAAATGGATGGACATGGATATAGAAGACACTTGGGGCAAAATAAAAAATGTCTGTATTCGCAGATTGTAAACTAAAACCTGAAAAAAAAAACAAAAAAGCACCAATGGAATAGGAGCGAAAGAAAGTACAAGGAAATAAATAAAATCAATAAAAAGATCAAGGAAGCAAATAATAACGAATGTATTGAAATTGAAGCCTTGGAACGAAAGCATGACACCTTCAACCTACACAAGAAAATCAAGACTATGGCAGAAAGGACTAGTTTACGAAGCAATAACTGGTAATCTTATAACTCTTAACTAACAACGAAAAAATATTGGATAGGTGAAGAGAATATATGGGGGCGCTGTTCGAGGAAGAACAACGGACAGAAACCACTATCCATGCTGATTCAGACCCGGAAATAACACTCGACGAAGTGAGGAACGCAATAACACGTCCAAAAACAATAAAGCAACTATACCGGACAATGTTCAGGCAGAGATTATAAAACTTTTGGAAGACTCCCAAATTAAAATACTGACAATACTACTTAATAAAATGTATGATATGAGAGAATTGCCTAGAGACTGGTAATTTCCACATTTATTCCCTTCTTAAGAAAGCAAATGCTACTGGGTGCTCTGATTACCGAATTATAAGTCTGATGTACTAAAAATCCTACTTAATATCATTTGGAAAACTCCCTTGATACAGAGGGCCAGGGATATAAACTGCGATGTCTACGCTTGTTTTATCAACTTCGAGAAGGCCTTTGACAATGTGCAACACCACAAATTATTTTAAATACTAGTGGAGTCTGGTATCGACGGCAAAGTCTTGCGCTTCATAACTAATCTGTATTTGCACCAGACAGCGACTGTGCATATAGACAACAAAACCTCCCAATAATTTACAGTCAATCGGGGAGCATGCCACGAATGCATTCTGTCACCAATTCTGTTCAATACCTACTCCGAAATACTGTTTAGAAAAGCGCTTAGTGAAACAGAGGAAGGCATTAAAATCAATGTAGCGACCATCAATAATTTAAGGTATGCGGACGATACATTTCTTATAGCAGATAGTGCTGAGGGATTGCAGAGGTTGGATAGACCGCGTAGAGGAGACATGTGATATGTATAGTATGAGGCTCAACTGCAGGAAGAGCAAAATTCTTGTAGTTAGTAAAAATGATGGTGCATAATACCACCAGTAGTTTAGGGCTACTAATAAAATCTTGGAAACAACAGATAAAATAACGTCCTTGGGTCTGAACAAAGAAGAATGTTTATCATATTATCATTACTTGCAATGCGTCTAGAACTATTTAATGCTTTGTACTACAACCTACCTGTTAGTTGGGTTTTATGCCTGTTAGGTTCACTTCTTTAAATAAATAATTAAATCAATTGTGCAATTTCGAAAACACTTTATTTCTGCAATATATATATTATACATTATCGAATCGTAGTGGGGATGGAAATGATAATACAGTAAAATCTCTGGTAATATCTACTCTCATAAAACGAACACACGTTTATAACGACAATTTTTGCATTACCTACGGAAATACAAGAACTTTCAGGTTACATCAACATTTCACATAATTCTTTGTAAGAAATCTGGAACACACAGCAAATAGTAAAAAAAAGAACAAATATTACCACAAGGCAAAAATATTGTTATAAAACTTTCTAATGCATATTTCTAAATAAAAACTGATGAGACTAGCAAATACAAGTAAGCAATTTCTTGATATGATGTGATATAAATAGTACACCTACGTTATCATGAACATTAAACTTTAATATTATTGGTAGGAGGTAGCATCCTGATCTTTCAAAAGTCTTCTATTTTGGAGTAATACTTTAAGGACTTGGCACGATAGAAAATATAAAACGAAAATGGAAAATTATTCGCTAAACGACTTCATGGAATTAAATTTATCGATTTGAGAAACGCGATTTTATATCTATTTGAGCTTTATATTTTTGTATCTAGATAATTATAGATAGATGTAAAATAGGTATAAAAACTTTGTTTTTAAAAAAAATCCTATGTTAATGTTTTACTCCCTTAACTCAGTGTGCTGCGCTAGGGCTAAGGCGTTGTGGTGCAACTTACAATACATTTGTTTATATCCAATTTAAGAGATACATCTATTTTATCTACGGTATACAGCCAGTGGCTTATTCAGAATTCAAAAAGTTTATGAAGAAATGGATCAAGAACTTCATGAACGTTTTTTCAGTGCTGAGAATGTTGTCAGTCATGTGCGCGAATTGTCCCGACTTGGCGTTGACCCTGTTGAAGCAAAGCATCGCCGAAACTTTGTTGTACTTACTCACCGGTTCGGCGGAAGTCAATCAGGAAAGCGTCGAACTAATTTCCAGGCAACCTCAAGAACTTTTCGAGATCACAGCTTTAATCGGAGAGCTTATGCCGAAATTGCCTACAGGTGAAAAATATTGCTCAACTAAAAAAAAAATCAATCTTATTGCAAATTTGTCATTTTAGACGGAATATTCACAGTAGATGCCTTATTAGAACGCCCAACAAGTATAGCAAAGGACCAACCAATTTGGCAGTGGCGCGATGACAGGGGCTGGTGGCATCCTTACGGCGCCGTAGACAGTCGAATAGTAGAGGCGGCCCATCAAAATGGCGATGACGAAGTCAGCCTGAATACATTAGGTTAGTACGCATTTTTATTTTTATTTTACATGCAAACTTACAGAAAGTATATATATATATATATATATATATATATATATATATATATATATATATATATATATATATATATATATATATATATATATATATATATATATATTTAAAGATTTATTTGAAATCCATGGACTATTTCTAAATACTTTTTTTTGCATTATTTTGTTTTATTTCAATACAAAATGTTAAATACCTGTAATTAAAATTAAAACTTGTATCTAAAGTTCTATTATGGAGAATCTGCACAGCTCTACTCCGTCGATACAGGTAGGTCAGACAGAAGTCTGCATTGGAGTTGAAGTTATTTTCGGGAAAAAATAATGATAATAAAATAATACAATTAATTTTTTAATTGTTCTGAACTCCTGCGCCGGTTGTTAATGAAGAACTTGCTAACGTTTCGCCAATCATCCTGTTGACTTCTTCAGAGCTTAACTGAAACTGGCTAAAATTCTACTCTGTAGGGCATGAATATTGTTAAGGATGACTGATTGGTGAAAGCTAATGACCGTTGTCACGATTAAAATTGTGTAGTTGCTTATACATGTCTATAATTTTAGTTGTATTTAATCAAATTTGATACTCAGTTTCATGATTATGTTGGGCAACTGCTGATGAGTTTTTTGTCATAGTCTTGATGCTGTTTCATGTTCTTGGAGGCTAGTTGATATTTTCGGTCTGGTTTTTTGGACAAGTGTTAAGTTTTGATGATGTTATATTTCTTAAGAGTTTTTGCTAAGTGATCAATGATGTTTTGAATGTAAGGAAGGACAACAGTGGCAAGTGTGGGGTTGCTTTCATACTTGTCTTTGAAATGTTGTGGTGAAGTGTATTTTGTGATGGAATCCCTAAAGTAGAAATTATTAGAGAGAACAGCAGAGTTAAGGTGACTCTGGTTGACTCAGGTTGAGATAGTTCTACAGCTCCGTAAGGGAGACAGTTGACAACCGATGGCTTTGGGCCTATAGCTCCGCCTTCTCAAACAGTATATAAGCACTTATAGAGTGGAATCCGAGCCAGTTTCACATAAGCACTGCCAAGCTAAGCCAACATGATGAAATGCCTTACCTACCATTTTGCAAATTTCACACATTGAATCCAGGAGGGTAGATTCCTAATTTTATTTCAAAATATATATATATATATATATATATATATATATATATATATATATATATATATATATATATATATAGTCAATTCACGTTTTAAATTATTATTGTTACATGTTGAATTTGTAATCCAGTAATGTATTTGTAATTTATAATGTAATTGTACTCGCAATTAAATAGAGTTTCTAAAATTGTATTGGAAATACATTTTATTACTTTGCCGGCAAAATATTTGCATTTAAATACTTTAAAAAATGTATTTTTAACAATTCTGCTTGTAATACACGAACAAAGTCTATCCTACCAAACGCAAAGCAAAGCGGTGACAAGGGAAAAATATTTTGACGTAATTGTCCGTGATACTCCATTTAAAATACAATACAAATCTAATAAACAAATTTTGCGTGTTAAAAAGTGAAAAGTAAAGTAAAAATCACAATTTTATAAAACTATAGATGAAAAAGTTGTACGGAAGCTGTGCCAAAAATTTTTGTCGTGTTATTTACTACTTAAAAAAACTGCGCTTTGGTACATGTGCTTCAAACTAATGAAAGTATGATGTATAATATAAAGTGGGGTTTCTTCGGTCTCTGTCGCTTTCTACATTTTGTCTGACATTTTTTCCAGTCATATTCATCTATTCCGTCTGTCCAAGTGATTGTTGGTCTTCCCTTTGTCCTTCTGTTCTGTGGAATTTACCGTAGAACTTTTCTTGGCTACCTCTCATCTTTCATTTTCGGGACATATCCATACCATAAGAGTAGATTCTGATAACTGTTTTTTGGCATACTTCCTCTTTTCTAACATGCTCCAATTTTAATATTCTACAGACTCTTTTAGAGGTATGCTTCCGCAGTTTGCTTGGTTTTATGCTTAAGATAAGTTCAAATACAGCTTTATGTATGTATGTATCTTTGTGTCCACTCTTATGCTTTTAGACCATAATAGAGAAATTAGGGCCTAGGTTGCTTTCTTTCCTTGCCGTATTTTATTTTAATATCCTCTTTTGTTTTGCCCTTTTCGCTTAAAGTACTTTGAAGGTGTTTGCATTGAAGGTGTTTGTTTTCATCCCACTTTCATATACTCATTTTTTGTCATATTTATCGTTAGTCCTCAGTTTTCATATTGGTCTGTTAGCTTTCTAAACATGTAGTCTGCGTCCTCTTCATTAAAACCTACAATTACTTGGCAAAATAAACGAACGCTTATTAGAGATTGATCACCTATTTTTAAAATTTTTCTTTTCCAGTTTTTTCTGAATGTATATTTTAAAAAATATAGATGAGCAATCCTTGCTTCTAGGTCTTTATTAACCGGGTTTGATCTCTTGTTAATTTTTGCTGTTAGCTTTTATGTGCCTTGTTAAATCCGATGTTATCCAAAGTTTCAAAGAGTTTTTTTAAAGGCACAGTGTCAAGTCCTTTTTCCAGATCTATCAAATATTAAATCAATTGACGGATTTCTGGCTTTGTGCTATATAATGTTAAAAAAACTATAAAGATGCTCAAATTTCTATTATGTTGTTGATTAAACAGTATTAAGTCCCAATTTCTTTTTGCAATCTAGGTGTAATTAAATTATAATGGCGTTTATCTTCAAAATATATGCATACGCCACATTTCTTGACCCTAACCAGATTCAAAATTGCTCCTGTTTCGTATTCTCTAGAATGGACTTGAATGAAATCTTAAAAGCAAATTAAAATGTAGAAATTTTGAATGTCTAGTATAAATAAATTCAAAACACAAAACACTGGAAAGAGGAGTGATTATAAATCAATTATCCTTCAATTATATCTACCAGGTGTCTTACATAAAGTACTTTACTGAAAACCTGTAATAGTTGTTGTATCAATTTTTTTTGTATTTGGAGTATTTTTAGATTTTTAGATCGTTATCAGTTGAGGAAATATTTAACGTTATGTGACTCATTGAAAAATTAGCATATTATGGAAAGGCTGCAAAATGGATACTAAGCTAAGCATTCCTGTCGCTTCCCCATTTTTTCTTTTCTCAGTTTTTCTTATGTGATAGAGACTACAGATGTTTTTATTTATTTATTTATTTACGGTTTAACCAATTTACAAAACTTTTACATTCATTAAAGGCAAAGAGGGAGAAAGACAGCAGTATAATAACAGCTAAAAACCAGAACAAAATATAAAAATAACATTAAATAGAATTAAGTGGAAGCGCTAAAACGGAACACATCCGAACGAAATGAGAGGAGACTGTCGACAAAAGGCTCAAGCTTTAGACAGTTACACGCTTTCAGTTATCACAGCTTCTGTAATATGCGTTAAATTGTATGCTATGCAAAAGAGCTGATCAATTATACTAACCATTCCGAATCGTAAAGAGAAAAACTTAAATCAGTCAATATTGAAGGCCTTAGTTATAATACTGTAGTTGATCTGATTCCTTTGAAGCCAACAGAGGATTTTAAAAATACGTTCTGAACAGCTCCGATGTTATCTATGTGGCAGCCGAGAGCGAACCAAAAATATATAGAGAAGTTTTCAGCAATATGGAGTGAGTTGGACACTATTTGTCACAAAACTTAGTTTAGAATCAAAGAAAACACCCAAATCTTTAATGCTACTGACGGTCTCGATCTCGACTCCATCAATCCTATATCGGTTGTGAACCATACTCAATGAACGACTAAAGCTAATACTACAGCATTTTTTTACATTAAACTCAAGACTATTAATCTTAGATCACTGAGAACATCCTCGTTCGATCCAACCCTCCTGAATATCTTCAAATCATCCGCAAACAAAAGACACTGCGATTCCGAAACTACACTAACAATATCATTTATAAACAAGTTAAAAAGGATGGGTCCAGTGTGAGAACCTTTGGGAACTCCCGAAAAAATATCAATTTTACCTGAGACATACTAACCAACTGAGTATGAACAGACACGAAACACTGAATCCACTACACCAGCCCAGCCCCCAGGCCCATAGCTCTAAATTTAGAGACAAGATGCACATGACCCACCCGGTCAAACGCCTTCGAGAAATCAGTAGATACAATCCACCTGAGCAAGCCGCTCAAAAGCATTCAATAAAAATTGTTGATAGGTGAAAAAAATTTATTACTGTAGATCTACCCTGTACAAATTATGCTGTTGATCAGCCAGAATTCCCCTGCGAAAGTCTCTCACAAAATAACTTATCTAGCAGTTTAGGAACCACTGACTGTATGCAAACGCGTCTATAATTAGCGACATCAGTCTTATCACCACTCTTGTGAATCGGTACCTTTCAAATGTCAGGAAAAATACCTAAAGATTAAATATATGCTGTAGTGGCCTACTCAAAGTACCCACGCAATTATTAATCAAGACTGAAGGAATCCCGCCCTGCCCATGCGAAAACCCAGTCTATAAATTCAAAATGCTCTCAAACACATCAGTAAGTAAAACGCTCATGGAGCTGAAGTCTAAACTGTAGTCAAAACTATAATTAGGAAACACACCCTCACACTTTTCATAAGTAGAAGCAATGTGTTTTGCAAACAAGCCTACAATATCCTGACCACATTCGGCAACCTCGTCGCTCAAATTCATATTAACGCTATATGCACTTGAACTCCGCAAACTATTTACGTCTTGGGGTCATACGTGACATCCTGGCTAATTCTCATTATATATACAATATAGCACTCATTACGCAGTGCCTTACACTAATCCCTTAAGCCACAGAAATAAAAATAACCACCATTGTTGTTAGTTTTCTTGTATTTTGTGGGCGGAGTTTTTTTCATAACAATTAAGTTCTGGAGTTTGCGACTAAACATGCAGGGAAATTGGAAGACTTACAGGAAAAAACATCTCAGTCGCACGAAAACACCCTCGTCTCACCAGTATTTGCCTGGCTGCGATCTTCCCTGAAGATGATAAAGTCGCTAAAACCTAGTTCTAAATCCAAGTAGACCTCGTAAAGCCACAACGGCACCAGTATAATAACATCATATATACAGCTATTAACGATCCGCGCTAACTCATTCGATCTAGTACGCACACTGCTCGCATTACGATAATAAATCTTCAGTTTGTTGGGTTTGAAGTATTCTTCTGTTGAACAACCTTCGGTACCCCTTTAACATACTGAACATGTAAACCTGGCACACCAACAGAATACTCTATCAATAAGCGATGCATCAAATAAAACCATCTTCAACGGCCTAGGACCCCTGTTATTAAGTTTGCCCAGTCGAAAACCCTTAAATGTTGAACAATTCACCCGCGTCGCGGAAAGAACTTTAAATACATGTTCCTTATCCTGCACAACACGGAGTTTCGAGTCATTACTCCACTCTCCGGTACATTGTACAAGATTACACTCTTAGATCTGATGGAACGATCCTGCATTTCGCTATAAATATCAGATGAAATTTCAGTACACCCAAAGACAGCTGCATATCAGTCCCTGACTTCAAAATCATTAATTTCGTTTTGGAGCTCATCAATCTGTTATTCTGCTCATTAATAGAGTTGAAAATATTCAATATAACAAGAACAATCTCAGGCATCTTAATATTCTGTCTATTAACCTGATTAACCTGATTTTTTTGACTAAGTTTGGAATATTTATTACCTGATTCCTCAGACTTGGAACCACTCGCCTGATCGTCAGGATCACAAAATCCTGGCCTGCTGACATGCATAGTAAGCATTTTCCACGACCTGGTCTGTTGGTAAACCTAGTAGGTGGTGTTCCGTTCGACACCAGTGAGTGATCCAACTTTACTCGATCAGTAGCGCGAACTGGAGACAATGATGCACGACATCTAACCTTAACTGTGGCACACTGTCGACAAACTCGTTCATGCATTTTATTTCTTTGCGTTGCAGCACAAATTTTATTAAAATCGGATGAGGACAGATCAGTGTATGTGTAGTTGCACAAATTACACTAAATTGCACTTGTTTTAGGCCCAAATGATTTTGTACAATCAGCACACTTATCACTCGCCATCTCTCTCTCTTTGCAGATATTACTGAGGTCATTGTTAAAACTAACTCTGCTTGTTTGCACAATATTTTATTGTTGGATTTTCAACATTTTAGTGCTCCTTGAGTGCTTTTTTGAGCATTTTCTTTAATCGGAGTGTAGTACGTGCCAATAACTGATTGTGATCGCACAGCATGTCTGCACCTGGTTAGGTTTTACAAGATAAAACCGCTTTTTTATAACTATATATTATAAAACTGGTTCATTATTATAAAGTCAATTTGGTTTCTTATGATACCGTGACTGCTAAATTATAGGGCATAATCAATCCCAAAATGCTATAATATACAGGGAGTTGCAGTTAAAAAGTATCACTTTGATACCTTGAAAAAGGTATCATAATAGAATTTTACACGCCCTAAAAGCGAAACTTTTTGAAAATCATTTTGAACACAATATTCCATACCGTGTAACCCTGTATAAACCTTCATCCGGTATTCGGTTTCGAATATTTTTGTTTAATTAACTGACAGGTCTTTTTTGTTTTTTAGGTAGAATTTATACCATCGATTTCCATTCGATGCAGCAAATTAACGAGGACAGCGGTACCTCGCGGCCCGTCCAAAGGTTGTGCACACCGTCCGGTAATAAATCCGCCTCAGTGGAACCGAATCAGTCGACGAACAGCAGGTGCAGCTCAGCGAGCAGGGACGCCAGGGTGGCATGTTTGAGGGAAGAGCGCGGTTTAGCTGCGGCTTTCATTAGGTGAGATCATGATTTCTTCGTTTCGAGTTTGACGAACGTGTAGAGATTGTTTCGTTCTGCTTTAATTATTTCCCAAAATTCTTTCTTATTTTTTGTTTTATGCTTGACATCTGTATTTTTAAGGTAAGCCCTAACATTCTCAATTAGATTGAGATTAGAGGGAACGTCACAAAAAGTTAATTCGTACCATTGTCACAAAAAATGTTTCGGTTTTCTAGATGTATGTTTTGGATCATTCTCCTGTTTATATTATTATATTCATATGGTAACACGATGTCTTGAAAAATATGAGCACACTCATTTTGGTCCCTAACCTCATTTATTCAGTGCGTTGGTCCTACACTATACGAAGAAGAAGCTCCCCACAACTCGAGATAATCACCTTCATGCTTATCAGTTTTGAGTTGAGCTTGAACTCTAAACGATGTTTGGTCTTCTTCGCCCTTGAACTTATTTTTAACCCCAGTTCAGTAGGACTAAACTGTTTGTCTTCATAACAGGTTGTTTTCTCACGAATATTTAGAACAAACGAATTATCTTGACATATGTATGTTCATAAGCAATTATTCCGCGGCTTCATTTTACATGGATTGACATATCTATATAAAATTTTTGTTTTGATGTTAATCTTAATTTATTTTTACCAAAAATTTTTACCATTAATTCAGAAACTCACCAAAATGTTTTCAGAAAAGCATAAAGCAAAGTTTAAACAAGTCGAAACAATCTTATTTATTTTGGAAGAATTGCAGTTTGTTAAAGTGGGTTTCATAACACCCCATATTGGTGATTTCGTTCTAACTGTTCCTTTTTTACTTAAAGTTTCTCAGATTTTAAAACTAGACTTTTTAATTTTTTATGCATATTATACGTCTATTTTACTGTTAAAATAAATGCCTGCAAGGATTTTACTGCAACTTGAAAGCGTCAAAAACGAGAAACAAATTTCAAATTTACCGTTCTACAGTATGGACATACATTTGAGGTATAAAATCATAAACTCTTTGCACTATTTCATCAATTTCATGTTTTTAAACAGTACTCAGGTAACATACTTTCAACATTATTCAATAAACGTTATTGAACCGGAATTTAGTGGTAACTTAAAATAATAACCAAAAAAGTATTAATTTATATTGAACCAAGGTGGTTTTTACTTGATGAAAATCCATTTACAAAATAAATAAGAACTAAAAGTTCAGATTTTCACGAAATTATATATTTTAACATGGCAATTGTTTCAACACCGTGTCTTCATCAAAGGTAATATTTACAAACTACCTGTTACTATATATACCGAAAAATGACCAGAAAACCTTAATTAATATTGTTGTGAGAATTTAAGTTCAATAGAGGAGAGAGGTATTTAAATCTAATTGATCGTTAAGCAATACATGTCTCATTTTGTTAATCTCCGTAGCTTCCAATAAATTTAATTTTCTACTTTTTGTGACTGTATGTAATATATCAAAATTGTCGTCAAAAATGTGTTTTTCGGTGTTTCAGTGTGTAGCATAATTAGAATCTAGACTATTGTTTTTAAACGCTCTTTTATGTTCGTTAATGCGTTTCTTGAAGGATGTACCTGTTTTATTGTTTTCTAAAAATTTTCCTATTGTGTTGTTAGTTCTGAAAGGTATTTTTAAGCCACATTTTGACAAATGTTTTGAAACTTTTTCACTGGGTTCTCCTATATATATATATATATATATATATATATATATATATATATATATATATATATATATATATATATATATATATATATATATATATATATATATATATATATATATATATATATATATATATATATATATATATATATATATATATATATATATATATATATATATATATATATTTTTTTTAAATTGTTCGTGTTCTGTATTAGGTTTCGGATAAATAGAATTTGCTGTTGTCGGGATTTGTTTTTTATTTATAATTTTATCGATAATGGACGGATTGTAGCAGTTGTTCAGCACAATTTGTTTAATGATATTAAGTTCTTTGTTGTAATTTTCCATTGAAAGTGGCGTATTAAGAAGTTTATACAAGAGTGAAATGTAGCCATTTTGTGTGTATAAGGGTGATTTGAGCTCTTATGTATGACTGTGTCCGTGTGTGAAGGTTTATGATAAATGGGAAAATCTAATTCTTTTTGCGTTTTCGAAATAGTTAAGTCTAAAATATTAATATACTTATCCTGTTCAATCTCGATAGTGAATTTCCAACAAAGCAAGCAAAGACATCATCCACCATAGAAAACTTTTACTTAAAGGATGTTCTAGTATGATATTTTCCAAATTATCCATAAAAATTTCGGCTAACAAAGGAAGAACTAAGTGGGCTTCCCATAATCTAATGAAGGTTTGTTGTATTTTGGCATCATAATACCGCAAAACGCGATGGCCATTTTCCAATGCTAACTTCTTCAAAGATTATATTTTGACGTAATCTCATATTCAAAGAAAAATTCTTAGGAACTACGTAGGCAGCTTTTCTGGAAAGCGTTGCTTCAGTAACATCGACAGCTGCTCTTTCATTAAACTTTTTCCTGAAATGAAATATTCATTATTTGAAGCCGCTCGACGAGAGTCTGCTTGATCCAACTTCGATTAGGTATTAGTTCAGTAAGTCCACAGTGATACGATATGATACGTTGTCCATCATATTAATGAAGCTATTGACTAAACCACCTTTTAAAGTAAAAAAAAATACATAAGTTAGTTTTTTCCCTAAGCATATTAGTATTGAGGAAAAAATAGGTTTTGGGGGTACAAAATTAAAACTTTTAGGTTAGAAAAAGTCTACTTTTCTCATAAAAATGAAAAATATAAAATGAACTTTCAAAATTTTCAATGTTCATTGATTTGGCATACTCCACAAAGCCATTTTTAGAGCCGCCATATTTTTTCCAAATTGTTTTTATCTGTATATATCCAAGTCCTGCCCAAAAATACTGTATCTGTTCCGTCCAGGTCGTTCTGTCAAATACTTCAGGCTGGAAAAACTGCATTTATTCCAACAAAATTTCAACTTTTTATCATCATGAATGAATCATGTGAAATATCAATACTACCGATTACGTGTAATTTTTTGCGTAGCGATTCTACTGTGACATGTTTTCCTATAAGGGAGAAAAAGTAATTATTAATTTTTTTTCTATCCAAAAACCACTAAAAAGTTATATACATGTTTTTCTTTAGACACAAAGAATCGGTGCAACAAATTATGTTATTCATTTGAAAAAAGAGAAAGTTTCAAATTTTTTTCATACCTGTTCCTTACATGGCATAATTCGGTTCCTTATACTATGTTCGTTTAAGGGTAAAAGCGACTTCACCGCATTTTTTTCTCTAATAAAATAGTCCTAACTTTTTAAATGCTCTTTTTCACCAAATCGTGGTGGTATTTCGAAAGGATTTAATTATCCCTTAAATTTAAAAAAATTGATCTTGATTATATATTATTGATTATTATATTATATAAAAAGTATGACGACATATACAATTAATACAAAAATTCCATTATTAGATTATCACTAGAATTGCCAATTTGGGTAGTAGCTTTCTCATATTGCATTTCGTTCCAGATCCTTGTTCTCGGTCCTTTACGAAGTGTACTCTTCGAGTGCGGGGCCGGCGGTGCGTTGCAAATGCTTAAAAGCTCTCCTGCGAATGGTGTACTACGCTAATCCGGACCTTTTGAAGGAGGTGCTCAAAAATCAGGTCGTGAGCAGTCATATCGCGGGAATGATGGCGTCCAGCGATCTGAGGATAGTGGTCGGCGCTCTTCAAATGGCCGAGATACTGATGACCAAGTTGCCCGAAGAGTTCGGCTTATATTTCAGGCGCGAGGGGGTGATACATCAAATTAACAGACTGGCCGATCCCAACGTGCCGCTGGGGATGAGCCCGCCAAAGTCCACCAGTTGTAGTTCGACGTGTTTTCCGTCTACTTTGGAAGCGCGTCCCAGCACTTCGCAACTTTCCTGCGCCAGCGCTACGATTCAGGCCACGGCGAACGGATCCGCCGCACCATTAGTAAGTTTATCCCGTGATGACACTTGAATTTATTCTCGTTCGTAAGTTATAGTGGTATTCGCCGCATGGTGCTGCTAAACATAAACAAATTTGCCCTTTTTACTTGCAAGCTTAATGCTTCCATGTTACTTTTGATCGTTTGACTGACCCATTCTACCTGCATAAGCGAGAATAAAGTAATTGAATGAAATATCGTTCGCAAACATGGGCAAGGTAAAAATTGAAAAACCGCGAGGCAAGCTTCCATGGAGCGATAGGTCCACAGGAATAAAATCATGAATAATGCTAGCTACCACTTAACATCCGTCTTGGAAAAAAAAGACATCGTTCATCATTCATTTGTGAGTAGATAGGTATTTGTGAAAGTTGGTAGCGCTGCTGAACTGAAACAAACGTGCCCGTTTGTCTTTGAACATTTTATCATATTTAATGTGTAATGTGAAAGCCGGAGTTTTGTGAAAGGCGAAGCATAATCAAATGCCGTGTAAATTTAATTGGGTCCCCTGCAGGAATCAATCAATTAAAGGACATTTTTACAATATATCGAAAATCCACTAAAATTCTTCTTGTGAAACATATACTAATTAATGTATATATACTAAATATATTTACGGAATATTATGGCCAAAAAAAAAATTTTTTTTTCGAAAAACCCTACTAACAGGTTGTCCCAAATGTGTTAAAAGTATCAAAATGGTATTTGAACCTCCATTTTTAAATTCTACCAAAATATTTTTTTCAAGTTTTTGTCTTAACTCCTGCGCTTATAAACGTTGTTTTATAATTGTTTATTTGATGGAAGGCATATAAAATATCTGAGCATCCTCTATATTTTGAAAAAAGTTATGATGGCTTTATTCATAGCTCTTATGTCGACACATATCCCAACTTTTCCACTTCATTTTAAGACTTGAACCATTGATGAAACCCCCTTATAAGCTCCGTAGACCTCTTCTGTGATATCAAGTTTAGTAAAATTCACTTGGTTTAATACTTACTTTATTTTCTAAAGGAATTTAACGATATGGTTAAGAGAATAATTTCACTGCGGTCACAACGTCCTTAAATGTTGGATATTTTGAGGTGTTGTTGACTTCTCAATTCCTATTTTCAAAACACCCAAGGTTTGGAAGTATTTTTCTCTAGTACATTTAGTGGTCATTTACGCCATAAATGTCACCTTGTCAAAGACCTTCTGTATATCCCTATCTACTTGCCTTCTGTCGCCCCTACCCTCACTACATCTTTAAAGAAACCATGTTGTTTGTTCCTTATCAAGTATTTCACTTGGATGAAATTACTGTGCAGCGATATCTCGAAAGCCCTCGCATTTTGTCGACATCAAATTATTTTATTAATTCAGGATTCCTTTCAGATATCTGCTAAAATGTATGTTACTAGGCCTAAGTTAATAAAGGTCTGCTAATGTTCTTTAATGTAACATCAGCTAAATGATGAATGTTATTGTTCTGTCAAAGTTTTGTGCTATTTATATTAAGTTATGTAAGACCTATGGTTGTTCATCTTGATAAGTTATTTAATATTAATATTATTAATAATAATATTATTATAGATTGGTACTTCCTTAACTTCTTCCGTATATGCAACCGCTGACGGCCAACGGATACAGGACGCCGACACGCGGTCTCCCAGTCCTACCGTACGGTTGGGTGACGTGTTAAAGCGAAAGCGGGCCTCCAAAAAAACCTGCGGAAGTGGCGGCAGATCGAAGCCGAGACAAGAAGATTTGGCAAATTCGCAGTCTCTGGTTCAAGATCTTTTCAGTAAAGCGACCGCGCTTGCCACTTCCACGCCCGCAAATAGTTCGAGACCAAGGTAATCATCAATTGAAAGTCTCAAGGTGTATGGTGTATGGTTAAATAAAAGAATAAGTAGTGCCAACTTGAAGAATGAAAAACTTTTACTTTCGGATCTGTAAAGAAGCTCTCAAAAATGACAGCGATAATATCACCTACTTCTAATCCATCCATCCATTGACATCATAACAAGGATGGACCGACCTCTTATCAGTGCGATGGTCTGTGCTTGCGGCCAATAATATAAAGAGAGGTCTGCCAGGGAGATAGAACTAGTCAGGGTAAAAGCTAAACAAATTAAATAAAATTAAAAAGAAAATAGAAGTAAATGCTTTTACATGATAAAACATTTGTACAATTGTATAGGTATTATGTTTAAAATAATGTCATAATTGAATATCATGATTTTGTTTTTTTTTTATTTTTGGGTTTTGAGTCTGTAGATTAGGCAGCAGAAACTTAATGAATTTTTCAGTTTAAAAGAACTTATGCAAAATGATAAAAATCAGACAGTTACTTAATTTGTTGTCAAAGAAACCAGCACATGATACTGTAATACTATTTATAAATCTCCTGGTTTCCTCCTGCGTCGGTTGTTGATGAAACGAACTTACTGATGTTTCGCCAAACATTTTGTACCTGCTTATATATTGTTTAAGGGGGCGAAGCTAACAGAGGCGATGAACATTGTCGCGGATGACTGAATCCCAAAAGTTCTTAAGTTATATAACGTCAAAACCAGATTAACCACTTCTCCAAAAATCACTCAAAATCTGCGATCCCTCAAAGACAAAATTCAATTTGATATACTAGGAGTTTGCAGCATTTGCATATGCGGCATGAAAGAGCCTTAAGACTACGACAAATAAACTCATCAGCAGTTGTCGATCACAATCACCAAACGGAACATTAAATTTGATTCGATAAAACTTAAAGTGTTACATGTAGGCAAGACTTCTACCAACGGAATTGAATTGAAATGATTGATATAATATATTTGATATATTTCTTAGGTTAAGGTTAAAGTGTACTCGCCTTATAACTCTCTTAATTTTGGATCTTTTCTGGAACAATAACGTACTTGAGGAATTTAAGTTTGACTCCTTTAGTTTTTCTGGAGGTACAATTTACTGCTGAACATTGTTGAATAATTGAGTTCATGCAACAGAAATACTTATGTGACCTCATACATAAGCGGTTAACAAAATCTTTTTGCCCTGTCTAGCGCTATCCTTTTTTTTCTGTTCCACTCTGGAATCAATCTTTAAGCATAGAGGCCAGTCTATATGTGTTATATCAGTCGTGCTCAAGATACTTTATCTAGATATTATCTATCTTCCTCTCTCCTTCTCTTCCTCCCCCCCTATTCCTCCGCTCTCTCCTCCACATATTCCTACCTCTCTCTCTCTCATGCTCTCTCTCCCTCTATTTTTCTTTTTGTCTCCCTCGCTCCTTCCTCAGTCCCTGTCAAACTCTCCCTTTCTTTCTTTCCCATGACCCATGGCAGTGTCACTTTATTCTAACTTGCCATCTCATATAATACCTTGTGGCCATCCAAAACTTTGATGTTATTTTGCTGGATTGCCTAGCATTTATTGCCACGCTTAGCTATCTGTGTAGATCGCGATTGTTTTATTACGCTTGCTATTGCTATTGCCAGCTAGCCAGTCGGAATGTACATGTGTGTTTCAACTGATTTGGGCCTTATTGGTGGCGAAAACGAAATTCATTTAAATTAAAACAAATATTCACCCAATTATTCTTGAAAATTTTACCGGTCCCCCATTTTTTTTTTTTTCGTTTAGATACGGGGGATCAACTTCGAAAACCAGTTTCTTACAAAGCTTGAACCCTGCTCGATGGGGCAGAAGCATGAATTCTTCACACGAGAGGAATTTCACCAAGGATTCTTTGAATAATCTGTCAAAGTCCGCGTCAAATTCTCATCTCACCGCCGGAAATAGAGAAAAGACGAGAGCGTGGATTAGAGAGCAGGCTTCTGTTTTTATCGACACCTATTCAAGTAAGTTTTCATAGTGTAAATTTGTAAAGTGGATTTTAGGTGTAGGAAAACTGGACACGAACACGTACAATTAACCAAAACTGAATTTAAAATGTTTATCTACGACAAAAAAGATGCCGTTAACAAAAATTTTCATAGTTCGTTTAGTTTTTATGTTGCATTTTCGGACCCTCCGTCGTATCTCTGTTATTCTTAAATCTTTGAAGAAGGTAAAATGGCATTCTGATGGATTTTTTCCGTAGAATTCAGTGTTGTAGGGAATTTTTATTATGTCTAATATTTTTGAGTTCTATACCATGTTTTAACCCAGTGAAAACAACATGGTATGTTTCATTTTGGCATGTGAATGGCTTTTTTCTAATTCATCCTCTGTTTCTTTTTTGTCTTATGGTAATTGTTGGTGTTTTTCAAAAGTCCCTTAAAATTACCCGTTAATTAAAAACTAGAAAAATGAGATACTTTGCGTAAACAGTATCGTGAACTGTATTGAGAGAGTTTCAGGTTTCGTCTGTCATACAAGGTGGGCGACATATTTAAAAATATCATCTTAAAACGCAATTACCAGTGCAAATTTTTATACTTGCCAAAGTTCGGCAGAAAACTTTGAGATTCGGCGAGAGGCGAAAAACATTTTATATAGGGTAGATGCATATTAAAACTACATCGGTTTTGCGAAAGGCAAAAAGCAGGAGCACAATGGATTTTTCGAAATCAATCTTGTTACTTTCAAAAAATCGATGAAATGGATTCTTTTCGAAAGTATACGCGCTCCTCACTAAACTCGACATATCGATAACGGTGCATCGTACAGAGTTCTCCGTTTTTCGACGATAACGGTTTAAGCTACACGCTTCAAATTTTGCTCCTTTTTAACCGTCCACGGGGTGCATTAGATATGTAAAAATGGCTGCCTTCACGCTTCGACGTCCACCCTTTTTTTTCGATTTTGAACTGTTTTTTGGACGTTGCTATGAAACATGATAAGTGTCCGAAATTTGAAGCTAAGGACTTCAAATTTTGCAGGCAAATAGCGTTTGGTCCCCTAACGGAACCTATTGAAATTGGGGGGTTGGGGGGTCGGGAAGTATTTTGAAAAAATTAAGAAATGCGTTTACAAGGGTCTGAGGAAATGATCATTTCTCGAAAACTGTTTATGGAACCCAAAAAAAATTCTTGAACAAAAACACGAAGAAGATTTGGCTGCATAAACTTTTATTCTTAACAATGTTTATTCAAAAATGTAAATTAAAAAAACTGAAATATGGGTCCCCCTATTATTGAAAATTAGTGATAACTAAAGGGCATTTCTCAGATATCAGTTTCTTTTACATGGCAATAGAGCTCGCATGCACAGCTAAAACTTGTGTATTGTACAGGGTGTTCGCGATATTCAGCGCAATATTAAAAAACGTAATAGGTGCGCTAATTTTGCAGCTACCGACTTCAGATTTGGCAGAAATGTAGAAGTTCGACCCACATTTAAACTATTAAAGTCGACCGTAATTAAGTACCCCAAAGTATATATATTTTTTTAATTTTTGATTTTTTTTTTTTGGTAATTTTAGCTTCCAGAAAAACATGTTTTCCTCCATAACCATTCACCCGATCGGCAAAATTCTTTAACTGGCGGACGCGGAGAATCCAGTGATATTTACATTTATTTCAAGCATTTTTTCGATTATATACAGGGTTTCTAAATTATAGGCAAAAGTCTAAAAAGACTTTGAAAATTGTTCTTTTAAAGAGCAAATTATTAACCGCAAATCAAAAATCGTAAATAATATGGCTAATGGGTTCAAACAGTGTCATAGACCGCGTCATTTTTGTATTTGCGGTTTTCGTCTATCATACACACTGCTCGAGAAATTTGAAAAAATCGATATGAAAATCACTCTTCCGGGGGCTTTCAAGGCGCGTCATTGATTATTAAGGCGCACTGCATGGTTTCAGAAAAATCTTATTTTCTCCAAAATCATTTACTATTTTAGAAAAATTCTTGGACTAGAAAACGTGGAAGATTCAGGGCTGTAACCGGAATTTTTTCAAATATGTACAGTGTGTCGATTATAGTAAAAAAAAAATATTGGAAGACCCTGAAAATTGCCATTTTCGTGGATAAATTATTAGCCGTAATTGAAAAACTGTAAATGAGCAACGCATCTTCCATGTCGTTATCTGATGCTTGTCAAAGTCTCTTTAACACTTGATTAGTTTTGGTTCGTCGACTTACACGAAATATTGATGGAGGAATAACTTTTAATACTAAATAGTTGAAAACTACAGAGTAATTTTTGATGCCCATTTTATTTTGAGTTTAAACTTTTTAGCATTAAAATAAAGGTTTGAGATGGGGTTGTCACTGGGTTGTTGGGCTCTTGTTTTATTGACTAATGACATCAAAAAACGCTCATATCGTTGCATTCATTTTTTTTAATACATTTTTTTCTATCGTCAGAAAGGTCCACCTGGTGGCAAAGTAAGCAATCACAATCATTCATTCAAAACAAGATTTTTCACCACCATTTTAACGACTCCAAGTTTATTGGACATGTATTTAAAAAAAAAATCGAAAACCTCCACCACTTTCCTTGCAGAGAGAGTAAACGGCATTAAACAAAAAAGATTCGATTTTTTTTTTCAGCCTTAAGATAATACTTACTGTAACTATGTTTATCATTAGACAGTTTTCTTGAAATCATGTTTTAAAATTCACGATATCTGTGCCCCCTTTATAGTTTCTTTTTTTCAAACTTCCTCCTAGGACGCCCTGTATAATAATCAAAAATTATATTTAGAAAATACACACAACTTTGCATTAATCGTCACTTAACTAATGTGTTTCATATTTAGATCACGACGGGGAGCATCCGGCTACCCTGGTGCTGACCCGACTGAAGCTGGCCATAGCTAAATTGCTAACGGGCAAGTGCGGGGAAGCGCTTCTCGAACTGAGAGAAATCCTGATAGATTCGGACATTTCCCCATTTGAAGTGAACTACTCGGGATTGATCAAGACCCTGTTGTCGTTTTTAGCCGACGTCAACGGTCCTTTCGACAGGGATCAGAGGTTGAGGATATTTTTGAACGTCTTCGCCGACTTACCTTTAGAATCCAATGTTACGAAAATTTCCGACATCAACTCGACGTGGATGAGTGCCCTGGTCGCGAAATTAAACGGTAACGTTAACGCCACACCGAGTTAGATAAAACCAAGTTTAAATAATAAACTGCTGTTAAGTTTTACATGTTGCTGTTTAATAAAACCAAGAGTTTCCTAAAAATATTCTGCGACTTTTTGGTTTTCTGCATTGTGTTTATGTGGTAAATAAGCCGATTTTAACGTCAAACTAAATATACCGGTGATGCATTGCCGAATGGAACAGGAAATCCCACGTAAATTTTTAGTTGCTCAAAATTTTTATAGCAAAGTTGTAATATAAGTTATTGGAGTGGTCGATATGATAACCTATGTGACGAGTTTGAATAAATTTTAATAAGTCAATCGTCAGTTTTTAAGTTAATATGACGGCAAGTAGGTAGGTATGTCATTTTTTTCTTAGAATCATACTCTGTTCTTAAAGCCTCCTTGTCCCTTAAAGTGTTCTTCGAATGAATTTCATTTAAAGGAATTTTAATTTCACCCTCAAGCTTTTTACCAAAAATAATTAATAATTATAATAAAAATACAGCTACACAACATTGCTAAAAAGAAATATTTAAAATTAACTTTTTTTAAATAAATGTTCAACCAACCCTAACTAACAATTAAACAACATCCTAAGAAAACAAAAAAATTACTTTCTAACATTGTTTAGTTAATATTCTGAAATACTGTCACATTCTGAGGAAATAGCGTTTTATAACTGGTTAATTTAACAATAATTACAAATTAATAATAACAAATTTAACATTTTTATATATAACACTTTTCAAGTGGCCCCACAGAAAGAAGTCGTTCGGCGGAAGGTCAAGTGACCGGAGTGGTCAAAGGATTCGCCACCTTGTGCCAATAATATTCGCGTTAAAAGTGTTAACCAAATACTCCCTAACCATACGGGAATTATGGGCGGAACAACCATGCATCTGGTACCAGATCTCCCAATCTTCGCTTCTTCTAGTGCGGGTTCAATTTAATTTTATAAAAATTATTGTAAAGGAGATGGCCAATGGCTAATGCTGTAAGTTCCAAGGAAAAAGAAAAATTGCAATAAAGTTATGTATGATAAAAGGAAGAAATTGTAGTTATGTACAACCTAAATTTTCTAAAGACAGTATAGTCGTCTGTAGCCTGAAATTAATCATTTCGTTGACTCACACACTTATTAAGTATATACAAAGTGCGTGATAATACAATCCTTAAGGGTGTGATTCTTTGAATAATTATCATATCAATGTATGTGCGCATATAGTGTGTAGAAAATATAAAAAAAACTGCTTAGATATTTTGTTATTTGTTCGGTAGAGGGCCACAATTCAAAAAAATAATATTCACGTTATTTAATGCTATGCTGTTTCTTATTGTAAGAGAGTTATAAATCATTATTGAACTGTAAATGTAGAGTTGAGTTGACCTATATGTGCTTTAGTGCTTAAAATTACCATTATACTTAGTTTCCGGTAGTTGTCAAAGTTTATTCTCAATTCATTGCTGAGAAACGATTTAGTCAAATTGTTCATTTTAAAATTATACTCAATATATTTAAAGTTCTTCTCCACCAAAACTCAACATTCAGAGTTGGAAAAATAGTTGCAATGTGATTGAATATGACTTATTATTCTAATCAACTAACTGTAGTAACGCCGCTGTCATACAGCAAACTCGTTTTTCTAATATCTACAAATTTGTAGGACCCTAATTTAAGAACAATTCGAGGTGTCTAGGGCTTAAAAACTGAAAAATGAAACTATCATTGCAATTTATCTGAACTTCACTATACACAATCTTTAAATTGTCAACCGGTTTAATGATCCCTGTCATTATATAATAATAATATGCCAGATGAAATTCTTCACACACAAACTTCCATCTGTGAAGGGCTACACACAAAAATAATAATACATGTTTATTTATAATCATAAAATAAAAATAATACATTACATTTAAAGTAGATTTACAAAAATAAACAAATTAAAATTCTTCCTAAAACTACACTGCCGCATTTTGCAGAAGCTAATAAATGTTTACAGAAATTTCTACATAAAATACAAAATCTAACGTACATAGTATAATTTTGAAACAAATATTACTTTAAATTTGACATTGAAAATAATGTATCTATCTAATATCTATTTTTGATTATTTTTTTGTTATATATTTTTATCTAATAATTTTTATTAAATATTTTATCTATATATATATATATATATATATATATATATATATATATATATATATATATATATATATATATATATATATATATATATATATATATATATATATATATATATATATATGATGACACTATATTCCGGGATATCATCCGTTCGCTCGTTGAACTCCGACTGGAATCCTGCATCCGACTGGAATCCTGCAAATCCTGCATCCGACTGGAATCCGAAACACTTCGAAGTGTTTTCGGAGCGCGAGCATTGAAGATGCCAAGTGAGATTTTGGCGAAACGTCTGCAGGATTCCAGTCGGATGCAGGATTTGCAGGATTCCAGTCGGATGCAGGATTTGCAGGATTCCAGTCGGAGTTCAACGAGCGAACGGATGATATCCCGGAGTATAGTGTCATCATTATATATATATATATATATATATATATATATATATATATATATATATATATATATATATATATATATATATATATATATATATATATATATATATATATATATATATATATATATAATGATGACACTATACTCCGGGATATCATCCGTTCGCTTGTTGAACTCCGACTGGAATCCTGCAGACGTTTCGCCATAATCTCACTTGGCATCTTCAATGCTCGCGCTCCGAAAACACTTCGAACACCCGTTCGAAGTTCGAAGTGTTTTCGGAGCGCGAGCATTGAAGATGCCAAGTGAGATTTTGGCGAAACGTCTGCAGGATTCCAGTCGGAGTTCAACGAGCGAACGGATGATATCCCGGAATATAGTGTCATTATATATATATATATATATATATATATATATATATATATATATATATATATATATATATATATATATATATTTTTTTTTTTTTTTGAGATGTTTTTTTAAAAGCACTTAATGATGACGATGACGTTCGTTTTTTACACTTATTTGTTATTCCTGTGTTTCTTGTACTGTAAGAGTGATTTACATTTTGTAGCTCGGTTTTGTTCTTGAAAATGTTTTTAACAGTTGCTTTAAAAAATAACTGCCTTACTTCAAAATATTTCGATTCCCTAAACAGCGGTACAGAAGAGGAAATTTTAGTTTTGTGAAAGGCAATTTATAGCAAATATGTTTACATAATTTCCAATTCTTTGCAAGCGTAACTGCACTAATGCATTGTAGAGTGTTAACATTTGGTATTTATTCAAAACGTTTCTAAAATATTTGGATATATATGTCAGTGGCCTTAAGTTGTTTACTACTGTTTGGAAGTGTTTGTTATATTTGAATTGTGCATGCATTTTTTATTCCTAAGTATTTTATTTTATGTGTTGACTGTATTAAATAATGTTCATTGTTTGTATATGTAAAGTGTTAAAATCCGGTAAATCTCCTTTATTGCACGAAAGTGTCTGAAAAACTATTCTTTCGTCATTCGCCATTTGTTTAAGCCAGGTCAAGTGAATACTGTGGTCGTTTTTCACTTTTATTTCAAGATTATCCCAAGATTCATATTTTTTATTTCTGTATTCTTTCTATAAGACGATCTGCAATACTAGTTTATGATCAACATTGTCAAAATCGTTGGTATCATCGAGAAACACTGCAAGACCTTTTTTATTCAATCAATCAGTTAATCAATTTACTTTTATTGTTTACAAAGAAATACAAGTATTCGTATAATGTGGTCTCTAGAGATAAAGATAAAATAAATGAACAAAAGATTTTAATAATAGTTTAACAAAACATATCAGTTGATTTGTGAAATATTTTCCTTAAAATTCTTTTTTTTTACAGTGAGTTGTAAATTTGTGAACTTAAAAAGGCTATTGTGTTTTCTGTATACAAAACTTGCCTGAATCAGTGTTGATTTATATTTAATATTTTCTTTTCGTGTACCAACTGGACTAATCTCAAAAATTTCTTACTTTTTCTTACATTATGTTATATTTATATGTCACTTTCTCTTACTCTTTCTCATTAAGAATCGAACTATAACGATGCAGATTCAACACACTGTCCGATATTTCAGGTTGCGTTTCGCAGTTGGAACAGTTTCCCGTCAAGGTGCACGATTTACCCGCGAGTTCAGGTGCAGGCAGGGGCGGCACGAGCGCGTTAAAATTCTTCAACACGCACCAGCTGAAGTGTAACCTCCAACGGCATCCAGAGTGTAACAACTTGAAGCAGTGGAAGGGCGGCACGGTGAAGATCGATCCGTTGGCTTTGGTGCAGGCGATCGAGCGTTATTTAGTTGTTAGAGGTTACGGAAGACTGAGAGATAAAGACGGTGCCGATAGCGACGACATAGATTCGGACACCGATATAGACGACACGCTGGCGGGCGTGGTGATATCCCAAACGGGCGCCAGACATAAGTTGCAATTTTTAATAGGTAAGCTTAGTTGAAAATTTCTCTTATTTATTTATTTTAAAAATAGCAACATGTCAAATCACCAACTTAGGTATAATTGCCGTACTACCACCTTTCTGGAATTATATGTACAGCATTCTTTACACTTGTTTCAATCTTAAAAGTCGGAATTTCACGACCATAATGCCAAATTCACATTCTAGTTTTAGTTAGTTAGTAAATTTATGATTTTTAGATTTTTTTAAAAAATATTGTAGATAAGACTAAAAGAAACAATTTATAATTATTTTCCTATATACAAGGCGATTCAGAACCAAACTTATATTTTTTAAATGGAACACACTGTGTTCATTATGGCATTAGTAGATAATCCTTTTCGGTATATATCGAATGTTTTCGGATTTATGACTATTTTTTCGTCAAAAATACTGTAGTATTTAAGACTATATTTTTGATACTGTTTCCGACAACTGTCAACAATATTATAAAGCGGTACAGTAGTTTATCCTGTACTTGTGTAATCCGAATCGTTTACACAGGGTGAGGTCAAAATAAAAAATATTAATTTTCGTAAAAAAAAACAAATGGAATACCCTGTAAATACCTCTAGTAAATAAGATTAAGTACAGAACCGACGTTCATAATTTGAACTTAAGATATCAGGGTTAGCCTTCTCCTCACTCTATGAAAGATTGTGTTCTTATAAACTTTACATATACTATATACAACGTAAATGTTTGAATGTCAATTCTTAAAAGGAAAAATACACACAGTACCTCCTGAATTTTAATACGCATTTAAATCCTTATGTTCTTTTTTATTTTCTCTTTTTCTCTATCTATCTATGTAAAAAAGCTTTTATTTCTAGATTATTTTGCGAACCTCTTTTGATTTTTTTTTCGATTATACATACTTTTGGCCCTGAACTTTGACCAGTTCTAAATTACCTTCAATCCCTTTTTGCGGATAATTATATATAATTTATACAAATATGTTTTCGGTAATTAATTTTCTGCGAATAAACTTTATGTGATGGTTACAAAACTTGCATATTCCATCGAATTGTGAGACACCCATTGATAATGGTTATTTAAGCGTAAAAACCTAGGAAATTCCACCTACACATTTGAAGAAAACGTACCGTTTCAGGTGGCAACGTGCTACCATACAACATGACCGTGTACCAGGCTGTCAGGCAGTTTTCGAATAGCGAAAACGATCAAAGCGAGACCGATACCGACAACGAGACGCCGCTGGGCAATGCCGGGATCTGGGTCCAGACGCACGTCATATATTACAGGCCGCTCAAGGAGGACGCGTCGATGACGAACCACAAGAGTAAAGCGCCATCTGGCGCTGCGACGTGGAACCATTCGAGCCGGAAAGGCAAAGGTCCTTCGAGCAAAACCGCCACGGCCAGGCGGAAAGGCGACGAGTTGTGGAACGAAGGTAAAGTTCGAATTATACCCACATAATTTTAGTTATCTTTGTTTATCGGGTTTCTCAGCGTTTCCGTTAATTGGAGGTTTTTGGGGTTAGGAAAAATTTACAGGTTTGAAATTCTAGGACATTTCCTTTCAAGTTTTAGGTCACATCGGTTTAGATTGCACCGGAAGTCGCCATCAACGATTACGATTAGGTTCGATACCTATTTTCAACTGTTACTCAGAAGTTTTGTTTGTTTTGAAACTTTTTGTACATTCAGCCCCATTTTTAACATTTTTGATTGGCGATAAACACTTCCGCAATGAAATAATAGAAGGGAAGTCCATATAGAATACAAATTTAATGACCCATTGATTATTTTCAAATTAAAAAAAAATCATTTTTTTCCAATGAGACGTCCTGTATATTTATGTATAGCCAGGTATAAAACTCTGCATGGTTTTTTTGGTCGTATTTTCTTTTTGAAGAAACCGCAATATCGTATGTATTCATTTAAAGTAAAACAATTATATTAAAGTAACGAATTTGGATGTAATTAGAACATAGGCAGTGGCGGCTCGTGGGGAAAATTTAAAGGTGTTTTGGAATTCTTGCAAAAAACTTACCTTAACCAAATACGGGGAATTATTAAAATTTTCAATTATTTAAATATTAGGTGCTCATCTAATTTACCTGAAAAATTTATAAGTCCACGAAATATCTCCGAATTCTCGGAAGTTTCGCTCTCACTTCAAAGGCAATTCAAACGCTCGGCAAAATATAATAATTTTTGATAAAAGATATCTTTGACACACTTTCATCATGTTATAATTGACCCCTAATAATTATTGACAACAATAACGCAAATTCCATAATTATGAATGTGGCTTTTAAAATTTTCATATGCTTTTTATTTTCAAACTTAAATGTTCTGGATCCTATTTCATTTCACTTTTTTTTTTTTTGTAACCACAAATATATATTTTTTGAGTCTTTACTAATTTCATTGTTCACAGTTAGAAATACACAAAAACAGAAGCACCCGCACTCTATAATTTTTTTTTTGAGTTCTGACGCACTGCAGCGCATATGCACCAGCCGCCACTGAAGATAAAGACTAAACGGGTTCGAAAGAAAAGTGAAAAGGTTTAAAGTATAAAATAACAAAAACCGAAGCACCCGCACTCTATAATTGTTTTCTTTTTGGAGTTCTGACGCAGCGCATATGCACCAGCCGCCCCTGAAGATAAAGACTAAAAGGGTTCAAAAGAAAAGTGAAAAGGTTTAAAGTATAAAATAACAAAGAAACGTTATGGTGAGGCACATAATACTTGAGTGTATCCTACAATGATAGATAGCCATTTACTTTCGAACATTGAATAACTCTGCTATGCACTCCTTGCATTTGGGCATGCTCAAGGTTAATGGGGTTTAAAAATTCGTCCCTATTGCGTACAGGCGTAGAGTACAATAGTTTTACACGCCCCCGGAGGTGACCTTGGAGGTCAGTTCCGTGGTCCTGGCTCAATCCAACCAACGTGAACATCAACTGCACGACTCTAGTAGAATGTGCGGGTGCGCTGTCAATTTGATACCAAGTGTTTGCTCTGGCGGTAGAACATGCAGAAAATCACTTACAAACCCTCTAAATATTTCGAGGTATTTGTATACTTAAACTTGAACTGTTAACTATTAACTATTGCATATAAATAAGACATTAAAACACATTTTGCTGGTGACTCTTTACCCTTATAACATGTGGGTTTTTGGTTGCCTATTAGTGAATGTTTTGCCTGTTTGTAATTCCTTTTCATTCCAGACAATGTTATGGAGAAACTTTGGATTTTCAGTGATTTTTAATGTAATCCTTGAACAGATATTTCAGAAAAATTTGATGTTTTCTTTATATTCTGTGGAGTAACGCGCTTGCAATACCCAACTCCGTTTCTGTTGCTGAAGCCAAACTATGAATAAACATGAAAATAAGTCAAAATATTTACCTCGTTATCTTCGTTATCAAGTATGAGTTTTGTTAAAATAGATCGGCTTTTGATACAAAATCTACATAACATAACACAACCCTTGAAAATATGTATGGAGAAAGTTATAGCAGATGGATGCAGAATTGAATTATTCTGCATCCTACTACCCAAAAATATACAGGATGTCTCATTAGAAAACTGAACTCATTGGTTTTAAAATTTTGTATGCGATAAATGACATGGCAATAGGTATTTCGACAGTAGTACTCTCTAGCTTTGGTTTATTGCAAATGTTATAATGTAGTTGATACAGTTGAAAATAAATAAGAAAACCTACTTAAACTGATCACAAAATTTCCTCAGAAATCGAAATAGAAATAATACATGGGGTATTCCGTTTAAAATAAGAGTATAATTCGAGACTTCGGGGGTTACTTTGAAAATATTTTTAAGTAAAAGTCAATTTTAATTCTAGAATTTCAAACTAATTCCAGAAATTCTTATCAATGCTTACGGTGAGGAACCCTGTATTTCAAACAGCGATAACAAAGTTTTGAAAGAAATGGATGTTGATGTCAGTCAAAAATATTGATTTGTCAAATTAACTAAAGTTATTTCGAAAAGTTTTGGTTAGTATGTGATAATTTGAAATATATGGGTACCTTTAACATCTTTCACTAAATCCTTGGATCCCGATTTTACCAATAATGCTAATTTATTATTTAGATTGCCCTTTGCCAGTTTTCAATTAATTTGTTATTATCATTTATTTAATAAAAAAATTATATATTATTGAATTATTTATTTCAAAAAATGTAAGTCGAACTTCGATAACTCGAATTTTTGATAAGTTAAACCAAATTGGTTGGCAATAGCGTTAAAAGTCGGAAGTGCATGTTAGTTTGTCTTGATTACTCGAATATCTTGATAACTCAAACGAAACATTTGGTGACAACTTGGATAAGTCGAATTTTCTCGGGGAACCCCCTAATTACGAGCGATCTTAACCTGTCTTTTTAACGTATCTATGCAAGCAGTTCAGTTTCTGTGCTTACTAAGTTCACTTGTATGACTTACTAGTTAATACTAAGTGAAAAATACGGTCCCTATTCAATTTACACATTATATTAAAGACATTTTTGGATGTTTGCATTTGTTGATATGTCATCAAAACGTACTTTGAAAGCTTTGTCTGTTGATCAAAAATTCAAGGTTCAAGTGGAAGGTGGCTCAAAAAATAAAGATGTAGCTGTGAAGTATGGGCTTTCGGCAAGTACAGTGTCTACAATTTTGAAAAATAAAGGTGGAACGTTTCGAAGAAAACAAAAACAATAAAACATTACACTAATGGTTTGTGTTGACGACGTAACTACCGCATGGAATATCGACGTTAAGCCTGAAAAAAATTCCAATTGTTTTAAAAAAGCCGGTTTTGGTCAGTATTCTGAATGGGAAGAAGAGGATGAGATACCCTTGATTTTCCTAAGTGAACGCCTGAAAGAAAAGGTTGAAGACGAAATCCAAATAGAAATCGTGTTTAAAGCTTGGACAAACATTAGAGGTATAGCGGAAGGTAGCACCATCAACGATTTTATACATGTGGATGAGGATATTGTTACTTCAGAGTTTCCTACTGATGAAGATATTATCGATTCCTGCAGATCCGAACCGGTACAAGTTAAACATCGAAGATGACTTCGAAAGTGACACAATGGAGGAGGAATTGGAAGATGATTCTCAGCAACCACCTTCAAATGAATTGGTTAAAAATTCTTTGATTGGCTTGCGTTCCTATTTGAAAACCAGTGAATACACAACCGATTCTAAGGTTGTTTAAATAAAATTGAAGCTTTTGTTGAAAACCAAAATAAGAAATCCGGTCGTCAGTCACAAATAACTGACTTTTTTCCAGTGAAAGAGTAAACTTTAACATGTACATACATATGTATGTATATGTGCATACATACTATGTTTATGTATACTGGGTACATATACAATACATTTGTATGTACATATATTATGTAAATACAATCATACATATGTACTACTATTTCATAATTTTCCTTTTATGTTCAAAAATCATAGATATTAGGGCATTAATGTAACGTATAACCCATTTTAAAAAATGAATGAATAAATGTTCATTCACGAAAAAGTATATGTATTTGTAGTTTTTATTACTCGAAGTCTTGATAACTCGAAATTTTCATGTGTCAAATCGCAGTTTGACTTATCGAAGTTCGACTGTAAGTGATAATACTGTTATTTCTACAAATTTCTTATCACACCTTTAGATGTAGATGTTTATTTTGGGCTGTGTTTTACATATCTAGAATGCATGGTGCTATTTTCCATTTAAAGTTATGATTATGATTTTTATTCTAGGAGTCACACCAGCCGCTCAATCAACCCTCTCGCCATATTTAATTACAGCACTTCCGGATACGGTAACTATTCAGGACGCATCATTGGAAGTATTGTGTCTCCTAAGAATTCTCAATGCTCTCAATTTATATTGGGGCACGCTGTATCCCAATATAGAGTACAAGCCAATAATAGCCCCTTCAGATTTTCTTAATAGTAAGGTAAGAACCAGTGTAAAATGAGCGAATTTAAATCAGTGACGTCATACTCAAATGAGAATCGATGACATCACAGAATCATGTCTTTAGCTAGACGAATTATTCGTGACCAAGCTTTCTGAGATCAATGTGGTTATGGTGACTCACGGAAGATGTGTTCTCGAACAACGCAAATATTAACAATGTCAACCGGGGTTTTATTGTCCATAATTAAAAATATAATAAATATTCTACATCACATTAAGTTCATGGACTTGGGAATAAGTAATGAATAATGTTAGAAAATTATCTAATATACGATTTGTCCAATATAAGGATGAAATGGCACGGTGGCACAAAATACAGCAAATACAGAAATTTACATCTGCCCGCACATATAAGAAGTTGATTATTTTTGTCTGTGAAGCCTAAAATACGTCAAATATGATGTTGGGATTCGCATATTACTTTTTAAGGAGAATATAATGACATAAGGGAATTGGTTCTTTTCTTTTAAATTTTCTTAGGGGATGAATATTTTCATTATCATTATTATCATAGAGCATAAAAAATGCTTTTAAATGATATAATACATAATATATCAGACACACATAGCATCATTCTTAGCAAAATTTGATTTTTTTTATAGAAGGCCATGATCGCTCTCGACTGACATGTCGAAAAACAAAAGTATTGACCGTCCGGTTATCGCATACACTGAACAAGTATTAAATTCATTGGTTATTCAAAATATATGAAATAATAAACGGTCAAATTGATTAAGCCTTACGGCTTGCTAACAATTTATTTTTTCCTTGAGATATTAGCGAGATAAAGCGAATGTAATGCTTTTTTCCTAATATACAGAATGCAGTGAACTCTGTATATGTTTAACAAAATTTTATTTTTTCAACTTGTTATAGGTAGGTTTCTTGGTTTTTTTTCTCCTTCGGTATACGTCTGTTAAATTAACACATATTATATAATAGGAGGTGTGTTCAAAAATTAAGGCGACTTTTAAGTTTTATCAAAAAGTCTTTATCCAACGTTTTTTCCAAGGCTCGAAGCACTTTCTGGTATAGCCTTAAATTCTTCCATTGATTTTTTCTTCATCTCCTCAATCATTCCAAACCTCCTTCCTTTTATGAGAAAAAAGTCGCGTGGGGCCATATCCGATGAATATGATGCCTGAGAGGCATAAGTGTGGTTTTGTTTTGGCCAAAAAAGTATAAGCAAACAAGTATGAGTGAGCAGTGCATTATCGTGATGCAAAATCCATTAATTGTTTTTCCACAATTCCAGACGTTTTCTTCTCAGTGCTTCTCGAAAACAGGGCATAACTTCCAGGTAATACTCTTTATTGACTGTACGATCTTGTGGTAAGAACTCTTGATGTACTCCGCCACGATAATGAAAGAAAACACTAAGCAAAACCTTGACGTGCTTTTTTCGGTCTTGGCGATTCTAGGTTCTTCCATTGGGGCAACTGGGTTTTGGTTTCGACGTTATAACCATATACCCATAATTCGTCACCAGTTTGAGTATGTCAGGATCGTCATTGACGTCGTTTGACAGCTCTTGAGCGATGCTCCTTCCGCGGTCAAAATTGAAAATTAAGCAGGTTCAGAACAAATTTTGATGCCACACGTTTCGTGCCCAAAACTTCGAAAAATTGCATGGCACGAGCCACTAGAGATACCGACGTTTTCAGCACTTCTCTAATAGTGATTCATCGATTTTGTTGAAAATCGCCGAGCACACAAAACTAACCAAAACTAACGCTGGCTGAAACTGCGAACATATGTTTACCAACATATGTCTACCAATATAACAAAAAATATATCGAAGATCGAACATACGTAGCCCGCCCAATTACACCTTACTTTTTCAACACGCCCCGTATTTCTAGTTTAGATTTTTTTTAATTATTAATTTTAGGAAAAAAATTTATTCTTCATAAAATTAAAATTTTAAATACGTTCAAATATGTAATTATATCTAATTATATAAAAAAAAAACTATTCATGTTTGAAATATATTTCTATTTAAAATAAAATACGAATTTTATTGTCGTTACGTATAATTTCGGATAGACTGACAAACTATGAATGTTTGATAGCTAAAAATCTTTGATAGTAACTCTCAAAACAATGTCGATAATACAAGAGCTTAAAAAGTTTACCAGCTCGGGTCGTTTCAATATTTAGAAAGAATAGTTTTAGAAAAATGCAATGACATATTGCCGGAAATGTCCGGGAATGTATTACAGGAATTTGCCTGTAGAACGGGGCAGTAGATTATGTCTAGGTATTGTTTTTTTCCAGAATTAATATTGACTTAGTTGCACAACAGGGTATCATAAGCTTTTCCAATTACTTACACTCTGGAGACATATGTCCGTAATATGACACTGTCAAAACTGAAAATGATTTCTTTTTAACTGGAATTTGAATTTGGAATGTAGTAAAAATTGATTTTAAAAATTTGTAAGATTTGTGGCACACCGCTATATCATATTTGGAAAGAATGTGTTTTATTTTTCATATAAATTATTTATATATGGAATTGCAAAATATTTCTGAATATATATGTGATTTTGCCATTTTGAACTAAAATTTGTTTAACTTTTGATAAAATTTCTGCTCTATATTTTGCTGATATTATATTTATAGCATGATCCAATAAACTATTAATAAAAGTATTTTTTTAAATTTCTTTGGTGCTTAGAATTATAATCTAGACATCTTCCTGAACATGAGACTTTTGTACACCAGTTTGTTTTTATGTTATTATCAATTTTATATTGTTATCAATTCAGAACGAAAATTATTAAAAGGCTTGACAAAATTGTATTAAAATTTCAACTTTTTAAAACATTTTTTTCCAAATGTTTCATCACAAGTTGTGGCACTGTTGATGAAATTGATGAGCCCATAGTACATCCATTTAAGTGGTGGTAAAATTGAAAATAATGGTTATTTAATCCTAGCTTAACTACTTTAAAATCCTTTATAAAAAAAAGTGTGTTGTTTGAATATACACCATTTTTTTTGTTATAATTATAGTAAAAAAATTTTTTGGAATGTTAATCTATGATGATACTTCATCAAGTCATACAAGTATATAATTTTGCTGGAATTTCAATATTGTCTAGAAATTATTTTAAAGTTAAGAATCTTTAATAAAGTATTTATTTCTTCCAACTATTTTAGAAAGACAGGGATGGGTATTTAGATAATTGTAAAAAATGAGATTGAATGCAAGAAACAATAGGTCTAATTGATAGGTTTTGTGTCATTTTGGCAATCGGTATAATTTTGGTGATTGTGCATTATTTATATTTTTTTGCATCTATTTCTGTAATTTTATTTTTCTTTAGTAATTTTTTAATAAAATTGTTATTTTTGCCTTGATAAAATTTTGTTGGATCATTTTTTAGTTTTTTATATGTGTCACTAAGTTGTTCATCTATTTGAGAATCATAATCATCAAAATTCATAATAACAGTTTTATTTGTTTTATAAGGTTTCAAAATTATAATTGGTTTGTTTTTCTTAATTAAATTTCATATATATATATATATATATATATATATATATATATATATATATATATATATATATATATATATTTTTTTCACGTATTGATTCACGGATGGAAAAATGTGATGGCACTATGTTCCGGGATATCATCCGTTCGCTTGTTGAACTCTGACAGGAATCCTGCAGACGTTTCGCCAAAATCTCACTTGGCATCTTCAATGCTCGCAGACCTTTTTACATATTAAAATGTATCTTAAATTTTCTGAAATTGTTAATAAAAAAATTGCAAATGGGCCCAACTTACGGAATACCCCGTAAGTTGTTATCATTATATTCGATTATGTATCATCGGTTAAAATCGCAATCCTTCGCAAAACAATTTTTCGATTCTAGATCGCGGCAAAGGCCAGCAGGCAGCTGCAAGACCCTCTTGTAATCATGACGGGCAACTTACCTAGTTGGTTGCAACAGATCGTGACCGTCTGCCCGTTCGTGTTCCCGTTCGAAACGAGACAGCTTTTGTTTTACGCCACATCGTTCGACAGAGACAGGGCGTTGCAGAGGCTGCTCGACATGTCGCCGGAACTGAGCTCTAGCGATTCGCAAGTACGCGCGTCTCCCCTCCATCCCCCATTTCGAACAATTTATACAATTAATACTCCTAGAAGTCTGGTAAGGGGAGAAACCCACCTCTAAGAAAAAGAGAAAGGAATTTGAGTTGGGATAATATGCGTCTGTATTGATCTCTATATCAGAGTAATATGGTAGTGTGTTAAAGTATTTTATAAAAATCCAATATATCGTCCAAAGTAATTTATGTGTGAAGCCAAACATATATTTTTTAATGAAACACCGTGCATATTGTTGCGTTAGTAGATACTTCCTTTTATAGTCAATCGCCCAATGTAGAGTTGTTATGATATATACCGAGGGTTTTCAGATCTATGGAGATTTTTTCGTAAAAAATGCCCTGTGTTTAATACCTTATATTTTTTAGGCCATTTCCGGCAGCTGTAATTTTATTATGCCAAAAATTTTACAAAAGTAGAACACAGCACAAGACATACTTCTCTTGAAGTTAGTTCGAATCGTTTATACATAAAAAAAAATCGTTTATATTTAAAAAATCAAATGGAAGACTATATTAAACTTCCATAACTCCTATTTAAGGACAAATGTACGACATTCCATAAAATAGGTTGTGTTGGTAGAGACAATTTTGACTATTATGCTAACAATGAGACCCCGTTTCATGATCACCAAAAATGGTCTTTAAATGTTTTTGACGGTATAATAGGAAATAATGTCGTAGGGCCTTATTATTTTGAAAATACAGTAAGTGGGCAAATTTTCTTAAATTTTTAGAGCAGAGGTTGGAAAATGTTTTAACAAATATTGCAAACGAAGTGAGGTAGAGAATGTTTCCTTCATCTGCACACCATGCCCATCACGTTAGAAACTACTTAAATAATTTATTTACTCAACCATGGATAGGAACAAATGGTCCAGTTAGATATGGTCACCTACATCTCCAGATCTATCAAAGATGGACTATATTCTATGAAATCTAGGTGTATAAAATTGCTCCTACAACAAAAGAGGACATGAAAAGCCTTTCCAAGTGCTAGTCATGAAATACTGCCCAAGGCCCATGTTAGAGCGTGTATGGAAGTCGGTGGGAGATATTTTAAGCAATAAATAAAGTGAAAATTAATTAAAATTTTTGTTTTGAAGTATTGTTCTTAGTTTTTTAGTGTTTTTTCAGAAACTATTAGTAATATTTATATTGCATTGTTAATATTATCCTCAATGTTATTTTTGTTTACATCTCGAATTTAAAAAATATTTCCGCATCACATTTTCAATTTTTTTTTTTTGACGGGTGGAAACCTTTTATAGGCTCCAGGTAATTGTTCTTCCTTTCCTGGTAGTGTGGAAGTCACCAGAGCCTCGGCTCGGCATACCGCACTAAAACCACTCCTCCACCTCTTCTCCAAAGCGTTTGGCGTATGTCTTAAACATTCCGTGACCTGAGATTGCTTGGGTAATATAGTAGTTTCTTTCTTTCTTTATATCCAGGATTAACCGTCTAGTCCACTGGCCTTTATGTGTGGTATTGTTCCATATATATGTATACAATTTCACGAAATTGTATATTTTTGCATGACAATTGTATATAGCAATTTTATATCCATCACCAAATACATCCCTTTCTAGATCTTTGCACAAGTTATGCCGGTGCTCTTTTTTGGACTTTCTTATCAGTCTTTGGACTTCCTTTCTTTCTTCTTGGTATTTTTGCTTAGCATTATCTTTCCTCTCTTCTGATGCTTAATTATCTCTCATTATTCTAGTAAGTTGTCTTCTAGTACTTGTGCAGTACTTCCTATTTTCAGATATTTCTTCATTCTACCAGTATGGGACCATTTTATTTCCAGCTGGGCCTTCGATGGAGCTGTTTTCGTACGCTTCCTTCATTATTTCTGCACATAAGCTATGCAATGTTCTTTCATTACCTTTTGTACTAACATGTAACAAATGCTATGATCTGAATGAATTATATTCAATTCGTCTATGTAGACTTTTCACATTCAGGTAATATTTATTTTCTTCTCAATCTTTTGTGATAAACGATTCTATCTAACTTTAAGATAAATATATAGGATAAATGACTGGGCCACTTTACACATTGTTGACAATTAAATTACAGCTGTTGGTATCTGAGTCAAAAATATATGGTACTAAACACATTTTGACGAAATGGCCATAAATCCAAAAAACACTCATTATAGACCATAACAAACTTACATTGGGTAAGTGAGCATAAAATGGAGGTATTTATTAATGCCATAATATACAAGGTGTTCCATTTAAAAATATATAAGTTTGATTACCCACATATTTATAATTTTTTGAAAATTATTTTAAATCGTTTGTGTAAATCTTATCTAGATCAAATAATAAACAATATATATTACTTGGCACATCCTGTATATTCGCACAGCTGTCAGAAAAAAAAAACAACTTGAAACACGTCGATTTTTGTTAGCAACTAGAATACGTTTTAGCTATTTTAAAATTTTCGTAGATGGCTCCCTCTTCAAGGGTTGGGAATTACTCTTACAATATAGATTGGTTAGGTGGTTTAAGGGACACCTCTTTGTTATACCTTTTGGACTAAGTTAAAAATTTCTAACTTTGTCGATTAGTTTTTGAGATATTGCTTCAAAAGTTAAAATCTAGCAAACAATTTTGGTGCAATTTTTAAAAATATTTAAAATTTTCGTACTATTTTCATGGTGGGGGGGTAATATTGCCATAATATTGATTCAAGTGGGTCAAGCAATGCCTTTTTAGTTTTTTGAGATACTTGATTCAGCTAAATTCGGTGTTAAAACATATTTTTATTCTTTTACAGAGGTACATACCAAACAATTCAAATCAAATGCTTCATTAATGCACTAGTAAAGTCAAGAAGCTCTGGCAAAAATCTCGGCCTGATTAAGAACACTTCACTTTTTAAATATTGGAGACCGCGCTAGCCATTCGATCGTTCCGTTCGTTTCAATCCACTGTCTGGGATATCTATTATTTCAAAATTTTCTCACAAAAGTAGCGTAATGAAGAAGAGTACCATCCTGCTGGCAATGTAAGTTATTGATTTATGCTTGCGATCATTTTCAACCACTTCGGTTATTAGGTTGTCGATTTCGTTTTCCTAAAACTGGGATAAAGAATGGCCAATAGAAAACCAAGTGTTATTTTAAATGGGGATTGTGAATTAATCGTTCAGTCATTTCTCCAGAAAAATCTGTATTGTCATCTTTTAGCGCAAAATGTGAAATATTCTAGTTGCAGCAGCCACCTGACAAACGCTTGGATTTTTTGAGCTTCTATATGACCTAGTCAGTTCTGTCTTTTACTGGTCCTCTGATAGCATTAAAAATTCCAGCACAAGTGGAGACAAGTGCAATTTTAAGTTGGCTATAATTGGTCGCAATTAGAAACTAATAAATTCAGGGTACCTACTGATAAAGTTGATTAACATCTGCTACTAACCCATCAAAGTTAAAAATGAAAAAGACAAAGAAACAGAGTTGTTACAAAAAGCAAAATTAACTGCCAAAGATAAAAATATTACAAAAGGTTATATACATGATAATAAATTCGTACCGTTTTTTTATTTTTGAATCAATTTATGTCAATGTCAATCTCATGACTATAAATAATAAATAATGAAAATTAAAAATTAACAATTGAATTTTTAATTTTTTAATTAATTAAAATAAAATAGCGACGAAAATGTTTTTGTTTACTCTATGCTAATAATTTGAGTCATATCTCAAAGATTATTGAATATTTTTAAAATTTTAACAGAATTGCATAACCATTTCCAATACCTTCAAAACAAGGAATCACAGTGAATTGTGAGTTCTTTTAAAAATAAATTCGTGTTTCAGGATAGTTCCAAAAGTGTAAAAAATTGGAGGGTGCTAAATATCAAACCCAATATCTAAAAAATTAATCTGCAAAATTTGACAAACTTAACTTATTCATAGCGGTACAACAAAGTCCTTTAAAGGTGCTAATATTGTGATGTATTTTCTACCTATAAAGCTAGAACATTTTCAGTTTTTTTTTATTGTATTCTTTATATTTACCTACGTTTTAGCGACTTGAAATTTGAGCATTATTTGTTAAATTGCCTATTAGACTTTTTCTTGCGTAGCCAAAAATGATATCCCAAAAATTATGCACAGATGAGTTTGTATCATTGTAAAAGACAGAGGGATGTGGTTTTCGCGACACTGTGCTACTTTTTCGAGAAAAAAAAGATGTCTCAAATAGAATTTTTATAGCTCTTGAGATACGGGATATTTTTGGAAGATTTGCATTTTGGGTCACCCCCAGATGTCTCGGTTATTCTAAAGCTTATTAGAAAAGTAAACCATGGGTTTGTTGCCATTTTTTAAGCAGAATTAAGTGACATGTCAGATTTTTTCTGTCCGCATTTATTTTCCAGAAATAGACAAAACCAAAAATAAAATAACACCGTTCTGTCTTATTGAGAAATTTCTGAACTTCTACTATTTACAAATTTTCTGGATTCCTCCTGCGTCGATTGTTTATAAATCAAACTGGCTGATGTTACGCGAATCATCTCAAAGTAATCTTAACGACAAGGTTTCTACCTTTCACCAATATATAAGCTGGTAGCTAGCCAATTTCAGTTAAACTTTGAAGAAGCCAACAGGATAATTGATGAAACGTTAGCTAGGTCGGTTCATCAACAAGATTTGTAAATAGTTAGCAATAAGCATTAGAATTAGCGATATATGAAGGGTGTACCAAAATACAAAGCTTGTAAAACATCCTGTATCTCAAAAATATAAGGGGCTATGAACATTCGGTTTGCGGCATCTTTTGTTTCTGGTCTCACGAAAACCGAAATCTTTACTAATAACCCGTAATACCATCGAAAAATGGACACTAGTGCACATGCGCAATAATGTCTTACGCCCAGAGTTTCCTTCTAACGCATGGATATTCTATCTCCCTTTCTTCGTAAGTGAATCGTGTATAGCAGTCCTCTAGGAGTATCAATTATATGCAATGATGGGACCCGATACATCTCCGCTTTTTAGGAAAGGGTAACGCCCAGACTCGATAGAAGGAAAAGAACGATATCGAGGGAGGACATACTGAAGCAGGCGGAGCAGGTGATGCAGGATCTCGCGTCGTCGAAGGCGTTGCTCGAAGTGCAATACGAGAACGAGGTCGGGACGGGACTCGGACCGACGTTGGAGTTTTACGCACTGGTGTCGAAGGAATTGCAAAGGCACAATTTAGAACTGTGGTACGCCCCCGACGCCGGTCGGAGCCCCGGCGACTACGTGTTCAATCGGACGGGGCTGTTTCCCGCGCCGCTCGCCAGGGGCGCCAAAATCGGCTTCATCACCAAGATCAAAAGCAAGTTTCGTTTTTTGGGCAAGTTTATGGCCAAGGCAGTCATGGATTCCAGAATGGTGAGTCATATTCATATGGTCGATCTGTTATCGGAAAAAGATAAGCAGCAAAAATTTTAAAAATTCGAATGAAGCCAATGTTGTTAGGAGATTCCAAAAATATTTTAATTTTAATTTAATTCTGGAAGTGGAAGTGTCGACTTTTTTATTCTAAATGCAACATTTTGTATAGGGTGTTTCACGGTTGATGGTACCTTAGACGATTATGGCAAATGGTACATGTTCTGTTCTGAAATTTGGTTAGTTCCAAAAAAGTAGTATCAATCTTGGAATTTTAAGTTTATGTTTATTTTCGAATAATTCGTTCCTATCTTTAGTGGATTTGGGGAAACTATTTTTTTTTTATTTTTCAACCAAAACATAGGTCTAATTAAAATTTTATTACCACCCCAATAGTCAGAAAAAAGTTAACATTTTGAATGTAGCCTGGGGAGGTACGTACTGTAAATTATTTGTTAATATCGAAATTAGTTGTATTTCATACAGGGTCAGTCTAAACTAATGCTTTGCCTACCATACACAAAAAAGATGAAAAATGCTTCTTTTTTTTTAATGAAACGCTATGTTAATTATGACATATTCACTTTCGAATGATGTATCATGTTGAAATAAAAGCAAATTTCTCTGAAAACTGTTTGTAAGTTCAATAAAGATTTAAACTTAATTGATTGTGGTGCAAAGTGTGTAAATACAATCGGTTTAAAATGTTTTAATGAATTTGTTTATTATGCATATATAATGCAACCAATTAGCCAGAACATACAGAATATTTAATGAATCGAATCCTGATTTACAAACCATTTCACGAAAAATATTTTAAAGATTCTTTACACTAGCAAAATATTAGGTGCTTAAAATAAAAATTGCACACAGAAAAATGAGTTCAATTTTTACATTGAAGTGGCCGAAGTGTTCACCTTTGCATTCTAAAGACTTTAAAATCCGTTGAAGTGGACTGATGGTAGTAGCCTTCTTTATCTCGGATAGACCTATTTGTTCAAATCATTCTAGAATCCCATAACATGATTTGATCTGCACCGGTGTCAAATACTCGTATAACTTTAACTCACCCCATAGGTAAAAAATCTAATAACGTGAGATCTCGCGATCTTGGTAGCAAATTCCACAGCTCAAACGGTAATTCCTATAATTCTTATGACAACTCTTCAGTGTAGTGCCCCATCTAGTTGGTACCAAGTTCCTGAAAGCTCAAATTCTCGATAAAATCATTTACCACTCCACTGTTCTTAATATTTTAAGGTATTTTGCAGTGGTTCATCGTAAAAACACATTTAAAACAAATTTTCTTTGAAATCTCATTTCTTTTGATGACGATTATCGACAGACCAAAAGGGAATTTAATTTTCTCTTTAAAAAAATGCAATTTTCATATATTCACCCTTTTTGTATCTAGTAAGGAAATCACTAGTTTTGACCAACTATAATGAAGAACTAATTTCTATATTAATACATCCTGTTCGATACCTCTCTAAGCTATGTCCAAAATTTTAAGTTTCTACTGTCGTGGTACTAAAAACTTTATTGAAGCTAAGCTTTGGTCGGAAAAATGAAGAAAATAATTATTTTTTCGAACTTCGCTGAAAATAGAAATAGGGAGGTTTTATTCAAAGACAATCGTAAAGTATTAGAGGATTGAAAAAGGCAATAATATACATGGTGTCCCATTTAAAAATTCATTGTTGATGCTACTTTTTAGATTAAATGGCAACATCGCAGTGTCGATTTTTTCGCCGTAAATATCTAAGGTTGCATTAAGCGCGAAACACCACATATATTATAACTTTTTTATATTCATATTACCATTTCAGATGTATTTAACATTTCATGTCAAAAATGAGGCTTGCAGACCGAACAATATTTGTAATTTTTTCTCAAACAATCCTTTAAAATTTTACTCTATTAACATTCCCTGTAGAAAATGGTATGTCGAAAAAATTTAATTAGTAATTCAAAGGTGTCCAAAAAATATCAATTAAAACGAATTTTTAAAAAACTTTCGGAAATAGAAATTTGGACTACCTTTTATTACAAGGTTATATATTAGGAATATTTACAGTTTTTGTTGTTTATTTATTTTTTTTTCATTTGGTCTGGCCTTTACCTTTAATTAATCTGGGTTAACCATGACAACCAGCAGAATTTGCGCAGCGTAGAAAAACAAAAAATGTCAAAGATACTTATAGAGGGCCACCGAAATAAGATTCCCCATCCCCTTAACTCAGAAATTACGAACGATACTAAAAGTTTTATAGAAATCCTGTATATTATTGCGTTTCATATAATATCCTACACCCAAGTCTAACCGTTTTTGGCGAATATTGAATTTTATGTCAAAAATGACAAAAGTTTTATAGGAATCCTGTATATTATTGCGTTTCATATAATATCCTACACCCAAGTCTAACCGTTTTTGGCGAATATTGAATTTTATGTCAAAAATGACGTTTGCGGGCCCTTATAGTAATTAGTTTTTTAATTTTGACTAGATTCCTTGTGGAGGGGACCTGTATTGTAAACAAGAAGCCTCTATTTTAAAATAATATATTGGATATACTGTTAGGTTTTAGTATTTACTATTAATAAAAAAGTTGAAAAAGTTCAAAGCAGTCAAAACAACATTTAAAAATAGTTTGTTCCGTTTAAAAAAAATGTATGTTTTATTCGTCTCGCCGTCGTTGTCTCATCCTGTTATATGTGAATAGGTAAAGAAAAATGAGACGATTACTAACTTTTACTTATAAATGCTTCTCTTTCCGCTGAGACCTGAGACCTTTTATGAGCGTTAGGCGGCAAATGCGCAAACGAGTTCAGTACTTACTTCAGTTCAGTACTTTCAAGACTTTATTTCCATTTGTCCTTTTTACCAGTAATTTGTTTAGATTATGTTTTTTCATTTATTTTAAGGCTGCTGTCGTCACAAGACGAGAGCATAAAATGTCTGCATTGCATTTTGCCATACCATTTGCGTTTCCTGTTTGTTCTGAGCAGTTTCCAAATTTTAATTGCTGCTAACAAATTTAATAAGAAATTTTTGATCATTCAAAAGTTAATTTTTCTTAGTCCAAGCGCAACCGTTTGTGAATATAAAAATTGTTTCAGTTGGACCTTCCATTTTCGCTTACGTTTTATCGGTGGCTTTTGGGCCAGGAGCACTGCTTAACCCTGTCGGATTTAAAGCACATCAGTCCCGATATATATATTACAATTAAAAAAATGCAAGAAATTGTTAGGCAGCGAGATGAAATTTTGCACGACGGGGATCTAACTGAAGAAGATAAAATTCTAAAGGTAAGCGGGACTTATGTTGATTGTCGTTTTAACATACCGATTGACCTATTTAATTTTGTATTTAACTATTTCACGCCACTGCATCATTTAATTTGGTGTCGTATACAAAACGACTTATAAGATTAATTTTTAATTTTTTAATTTTCGATGTGTCCATTTCATTGCACACATCAGATAAAAAAATAACGATTGGAATACTAAATTCCAACCATCTATATCTATAGTTTTTTACAATTTCCTCACGAGGTAATTATACTTAGCTGGAACCACAATCTTTAATGATTTTCTTATGGCATGTACTATGTACTATCTTTCATTTTTGTTCTATGCCGTGCACACTTCAAAAAAGCATTTTAGTTATTATTCATAAACTTGTTTTATTAATTTATTAATTAATTAACTAGTAAGCAACATAAAATATATCCGGTGCTTCTGTAAGGGCCCTGTTAGGGAAACTGTTGGCACTTGACATTTGAAAGAAAAAACTTCCTGATTTCCTGACCACCAGGGGGCGTAATTGTTATCTTTAATTTTAAGTCAACTATAGTTAAGCTGGTCACTATTTTAAAACTGAGAAAAATTCTTTTTTTTTTTCAATACTGTTCGCTCTACCTCAAAGAAAGTGGTGGGAGTGTTCTAATATTTTTTAAATAAATATTTTTCCTAGGCTTTCAGTAACGCTATGAGTGACATCATTGTGCTTACGCAACGATATGAGCTTTTTTTACGTCATTAAATTGTTAAATAAGGGCTCAACAACACAATGAACACCGCATCTCAACACTTCTGCTACTAATGCGGTACCTTTTTGACCTTATCTGGACATCCTATTTAATAAAACATTAAACATAATTCTATACGTCATAAAATATTTTGTTAATTTCATATTTACAACTATTTAAAAATTAATAAGAATTTCGGTAAAACATCATTTTATTCGGACATAGAACTGTAAGGGCTCGTATTACAACACCGATACATCATCCAGAAGAAGTGTAACTACAAATGTTTAAAAGCAGTTTTAAAATTAAAATCAATAAATTTTATTTTCATAAGGCTTATATTTAAAATGTTTTGAAACTGAATTAATTTTATGCAACGGTATGTTGACAATGATTTCAAAAAACTTAAACAGAAAGGAGAAAATGAATATCATAGAAAAAGGCGACTATTTAAAAAGAATATGTTAACCGAGTACTTTCAAAGTATAACAAAATATTTAAATCTTTCTCAACGTTTCATTCCTTTGTTCCGACCTTTCGCTTAAGTGTTTTTCTTTTTTTCTATTTCTGTTTAAAACCGATAATGGATAAGCTAACTATTATGTTTAAGACTTAAATAATATTTTAATAAATTTTGGAATCTAATAATAAATAATAAACCGGTCAAAATTTGATATTTTTCAATTTTTTTGACACGCCGGATCAAAAGTTCGATAAAAATCACGAAACTTTTGGATTTATACTTTTTTCATACGACGGTGCAAACCTATACCAGAAAACTCTGTATCTTATATTATAAAAGTATTGATTTTAGATAAATACTAACTATACTTCAATTCAAGTCTTACTTTTTTTTATATACTTAGATTGAAAAACTTGAATTCGACGGCTGCGCGATAGAAGATCTCGGATTGGATTTTATAGTTCCTGGGTATAACGTGGAATTAATAAAGAACGGTAGAAATACTCATCTAACCATACACAATTTGCATCTTTACGTTAAGGTAAGTAGTAAACGTAACATTCGAACGCTAGCCATAATAGATGTTCATTTTACTTAAAATTAGTGAAAGTAATGAATTTGGTTTTTAGTCGCGAAAACTTTTGCCATAAAAATGTATTTTGTCAATTAGTTTATATATATATATATATATATATATATATATATATATATATATATATATATATATATATATATATATATATATATATATATATATATATATATATATATATATATATATATATATATATATATATATATAAATTACTAAGTTTATTAAGTTCAATCTTTATGTGATTTAAGCAAATTCAAGGTTTTAAGCAGGTTCGCGTTATGATGTGGTTGTTCTCATCTGTATACGTTATTCTGGTTGTTTAAATTTATTTATTTAAAAATTTAAATAACATAGTTTCAACAAACGGTCCAATTTTTTCCAAAATTAAACAGGTTAGTCATTATCTAATTATTCAAAAAGTAATTTAATATATAAAATAATTGATATTAATTTTAAGAAACTTTGAGATGACTTAACTGAAACCAAAAGTTAAAAATAACTCCAAAGCAAAGTGCTAAATTTCCAAAAAATTATTGGAAACTCCTTTTGATGTGCTTATTTTTAATTGAATTTGTTGTCAGGCATTTTTAGGTAGTTATAATTATCTTTTTTGCATTTTGGTCTCTACGTTCTAGATGATTTTGGCATACACATGTCTAATCTTAAATACATGCAATACATTTGTTTAAAATATATTGCAAAATATCTTCTGTATTTTTAGGAAGCGGCGCGTGTCATTTACCTTTTTTTCCATTTTTTGAGTGAACTAGGAGTTTTCCTACAATGTCTGTTCTTATTACAATTTTAAACTCGATTAATAAACCATTTAAGAAATACAAGCCTAACTCCACATATTGCTTGATTTTTGCGTAAAATTAGGAACCGAATATGCACAACAAATATTTCAGAAATGCACCAAACAATTCTATCTTTATATAAAAAAAATCCCAACAAACATATTTCCAACACAGTTATAATGTTACAAAAATAACAAAATATTTAACTATATGAAGAGGGTATTATCGAACGAATGTCATGAACCTATTAAGTAAGTTAGAAAAAGGAGAGCAACAGCAGAACTCTCTCTCACTGTTGACGATCCCATACGTGAAGGGAATCTCAGAAAAGATCAGTCAAATAGCAAAACAATACAAAGTTAAGACTATATTCAGGTACGGGATGATATTACAGAGCATACTTACAAGAATATTGGATACATAATGAGGGCTGAAATCTAAGTTTAAAGAAGCTGTATTCATTAAAAACAGAGGAAACATCTTTAGCATTCCAAGCGTGGAAATACCTACAATTTAGCAACCCTTAATAGAGCGCACCAATGTTGGCATCCTAGAGAAAAAACCTGAACCTGTAGTCTTAGACTTAAAATTAGTCTGTAAAAAAATAGAGACAATGAAAGTTTGAAATTCTAAGTATTTCTAGACTACTAGTACTAGTAATTTGTTCTTTTCTTTACCTGTGTCGATGACGTTGCGATGTTTTAAACTTTAAAAAACAAGGTAACAAACAACATTAAAACTTTAAAAAATGAATACTTTAGAAAGAAATAGTGTGACTATGGTAATGATTCCAAAAAAAAAAAACAATGGCGATTTATTAATAGTTCAATGAAAAATAAAGTAGTAGTACATGAAGTTAAGGTTCACTTCTCTAACGTAGGTAAAAACATAGTACAGGAGGTAGACAGTCAAATATATTATCTATAACAAACTGGCAGTAATAATTTTCAATTTAATGAGGTTTATTGTAATAATTAAAAATTTTTGGTTACGCGTAACGATCAAGAAATTATATATATTCTTAGGATTAAAGAATGCGTCGGCCCCTGTTCATGATGAATTAATTATTAATAGAATATTATTAATAGATTAAAACCCTATATTTAAATCTGGTTGTAGAAAATGTATGGATAATTATCGCTCTATTAGTGTTACTAGTGTGTTTGCAAAAATTGTTGAGAATGATGTCTTTCAGTGCATAGATCTCGATGAAATTCAGTATGACTTTATTAAAGGCAGTGGTGCTCAAAGCGCAGTGGTCGACCTTGTACGAAGTGTTGCGACTAAATTAAAGAGGGAAATTTAGTAATAGTAATGTTTATAGATCTTCAAAACACTTTTGATGTGATTAATACTGATGTTTTATTGAAAAAAAAAATATTATATGGGGTACAGACGCGACATGTATAACATTGTACAATCCTTATTTGTTTCAGACTCTAGTATGTACGAATAGCTACAAATATCAGTCGTACAGAGGGTTGTAATTTTAGGGTGCCACAAGTATCGGTTCTCGGCCCGCTATTTTGCTTCCTCAATACGCTTAGTCTGAAAAACCTTGGTTTGGTCTCAACATATTATAAATTTGCTGACGACACAGTGCTTTTTGATAATATCGATAACATCGACATTGTGAATGCTTATCTGAAGCTGTACACCGATTGGTTATTGTTAAATTCGTTAAAAATCAATGTTAGTAAAACCAAATTTATATCATTAAAACCGAAAAACAAAACTGTACAAATACCGAATATAAAACTGAACTGATAATAAACTGAGTTGGACTGAACATATTAGACATATTTCTAGTAAAATTACACCATTGATTAGTGCATTGTACAGAAATAGATACTACCTATCTTATAATGCTAACAATATATACATTTCCTTATTTTTTACCTACTTCAAGTATATGAAAGATTTGTAATACTTTTATATACTTGTCTTGAGTAAATTACACAAAAAAAAAGCCGGTGGTAGAATATAGTTTTTAATGTGGACAAGTCTTTTATTTGTATTTCTATAGGACAAGTATGTCCTTGACACCAGTGTTGCTAAGCACTGTTCAGAGGATTTTTGTAAACTGTAACTTGTATTTATTTGTTAAATATTTTACGTTCAGGTCTTATCGCATTGGATGTTGGTGGAGGGGGTATCGCGGCAAATGGAATCGTTCCGCGAAGGATTCGATTCGGTGTTTCCGCTCAACAACTTGAGGGTATTTCAACCGGAAGAACTGGAATGCGTGTTCTGCGGCAGTCCCAAAGATCAAGTATCCGGCTGGGATATCAAAACACTGATGGAATGCTGTCGGCCCGATCACGGGTACAATATAGATTCGAGGGCGATAAAATATCTGTTCGAAGTATTGAGCTCCTATAACGGAGACGAGCAGAGGATGTTTGTGCAGTTTTTGACCGGCAGTCCCAGACTTCCCGTCGGAGGTGGGTAAACGCGGTTAAATTAAAGCTGGGTTTTTGAAATCTCTTGGTTGTTTAAGGGTTCAAAGCATTATCGCCACCATTGACTGTAGTAAGGAAAACGTTGGAATTAAACATGAACCCGGATGACTTTTTACCATCTGTGATGACGTGCGTAAACTACCTCAAACTGCCCGATTATTCTAGCGTAGCGATCATGAGAGAAAAACTGAGGATAGCGGCTTCAGAAGGGCAGCACTCGTTCCACCTGTCATAAACTATAAAAATGTACTAAATGTGTGTTATAAACAAAAATAATTACCATATAATAGCATACCAATTTTACATAAAGTGATAATCACTTACAAACTATTGATATTATATTTATTCTACACATTGGTGGTTAAAAAAGTGTCTTATTTTTTAAAGAGTACCAAATTAATATCAATTTTTGTCTTCAGACCCCCATTGTAATTATCAGATTTGTTTGTTGTTATTTTTTTTTATGTGGAGTCGACTGATTTGTGCAATGGACACACTTATAGTGATAACGTCTCTCAACGAACTGTGCTAGATTTAATTGTACACTTCAATTGCCAAATGTATAGTTTCGTCAGGCCTGCGACGCAGCACTGACTATATTTAATTTTAAAATTGTAGTTTTAATTTTAGGCATATTATTTCAGTAAATTTGTATACATGCTATAGTATTTTATTTAAAATATATTGAATATAAAAATGATAATCAATTACAGTTGCAGATTACAATATCTATTGTGGCTACTGAGAAGCTTCTTTTGTAGGTGGTAATTTCCTGAAGATGACTGATGCACACGCAAAGAAATGAACTGACAGCCTGGAGTCAAATACCTATTCATGAACGTGAATCTATAGATATTTGTTTACTCTAGCCTTTTTAGTAATTTCTTGTACAGTGAGAACAAGCCGCAAATAAATTAATGCTTGTTACATTTGTATGTGTCATATCTTAACGGGGACACTGGAATCTTGCGGTTACAGATCAAATAATGAATAAATAAAAGTACCGATTTTCTTTCTGCAATTCAAGGAAACGAATAAAATATGGAAGTGTCGAAAGAGTGGACAAAGAGTTATTAGGAAATAGTTGATATTTAGAAAATTGATATTTGTGGAAAAATACTAAGTAGTGTTAATTGAAAAAAAAAATCTAAAAATGTAATATCCTAAACTCCAAAAACCAAATCTGAAGTGCTCAAAAACTGTCAAAAAATTAAACAAACTCCGAAAAACCAAATCTATTCAAATTAAAAATAAAACCAAAACTGCAAATGCTCAAAAACTAACGGAAACCACAAACCCAGGCCCACCTGAAATGCTTAAAAATTAAACCGACCGAAAACTACAAATTCCTAAAAATTTAAACTAACCGAATCCCATATGTCCAAAACCCGAGACCAAGAATCGTAAACCTAATAGGATTGCCCAATCCCATAAGACATACATTCGCCAAAATTATCAATCGCACGTTGTCGCTTGTGACTTAAGCGAAGACCTCTAACGGTTTTTGTGTATTTTATCAATGCATTTGAAGGCGTAATAAACCATTGTATTTTGTGTTTTTTGAACAATTAAAATAATTTAAATTAGTGAGTAGTCCACTTATGTTTGTGTTAATTGTATTTCTGTAAAAAAAACTTGGACAAAACAGTATTTTTAAGCTTTAACAAATACTTTAAAATTGTATGTGCTTGAGTGGCGAGAACTGAGAAAAACAGTATTTTTAACCTTAAACAAAGACTTGAAAAGTTTTGTGTTCGTGGTGCTTATTGGCAGTGTTATTAGTTAGGAGGTAAGCTCAAAATATTACACATAATAATATAGGTAAAGGTAAGAAATACATTTATTTTACCTTTTTTAGTGGGATAAGTTACATCAAAAAATAGTTACATATGCCTGGAACGAGATGTGCCATGTATGGGTGCAATAACAACTATTTTGATGAAAAAGCAAGTTCTCGAAAATATAGTTTTCATCGCTTTCCCAAGGGAAAGATCTAGTATCCTGAACTATTCGGAACGAGTGGATAGTTCGATGTAGAAGAGAGGACAAAACTTAATCCAGATAAAAGCTATATCTGCTCAGTTCATTTTACTGAAAATGATTACGAAAGAGATTTACAAAATGAGTTATTAGGGTTTTTTTGTCTTGAGTAACATATTAAATTCACCGCAAAATTTAAATTTTAGGTTTACCTTTAAAAAAGATTAAAAAAAAATCCCACCCTATTTTTAACCAGAAGCCACCAACAAAACCAGGATTATCTAAATCAAAAAGACTTCAGGTATTGTCTGAGCTTTTAGCAACAACATCGAATGCCACAAGTGAAATTCTAGAGAAAAATCCATCTCCAGAACCCATCTCCGAACCCCAAATAATAAATTATAAACGTAAGTATATAGATTTGTTGGATAGTTTTAATAATTTAACCAATAAATATTCTTTGCTAGAAGCTAGTTCTATTAAAACAAGGTCATTTTATCAAAAGTAATAAAATAAAATTCTTAATGACCAACTAAGATAATTCAAAAGTAAATATTATAAATCCCCAAAATCTAAAACAACTGAAGAAGTAGCACCCATGACACTATTCAAGACTTACCCAGAATCAAATCGATTTATTGTAAATAAAAAAGAAGCGAGTAAACTGGACTCGAGACGAAATAGCTGTCGCATTTACGTTAAGATATTACAGTAAGAAATCTTACCTTTATTTAAGAAGTAAATTACATTATCCACTACCTGCACATTCTTCCTTAAGAAGATGGGCTTCTGAACTTAATTTAAGTCAAGGAATATTATCAGATGTTTTGCTATTGCTTTTTTACTTTTGAAAGAACAGTTGTTTTACAGTATGATGAGGTTTAAGTGAAGGATGTGTAAGAATATAATGCGCTCAAGATGAAATTTTAGGTCCTTATAACAATATGCAAGTTGTTATGGCTCGAGGCCTATTTTCAAACTGGAAGTAACCTATTTTTATTGCTTTTGACCAAAAAATAACCAAAGAAATTTTGTATTACATTATTATTGAACTTCACAATATATCATTTAATGTGGTGGCCTGTGTAAGTGATTGTGGTGCAAGTAATGTGGGGCTATGGAAAATATTAGGCATCGATATAAATAACACCTCATTTAAGCATCCCATTTCCAATAATAACATTTATATGTTTGCTGATGTTCCACATTTATTAAAATTATTGTGTAACTGGCTTTTAGATAGGGGATTTACGCTAAATAAAAATCCTCTTCAGGCTCTGATCTCCTTTACCGATAGTGAAGTCAATGCTTGTTGGAAAATAAACCATAAGCATTTAGATGTTGAAAAAACAAATCGTCAAAATGTGCGACTTGCTGCGCAACTTCTCTCTAATAATGTTTCTACTGCTCTTTTACATTATAAGCCGGGAGAAGATAAGAAAATTACAAAATGACCACTTAAAAAAAATGTACGAATTAATTTATAATATGAGAGTTGTTGGAAAAAACACCCTAATGACTTTTCAAAAAGGCATATTAATGTCCATTCTTTCTTTACAAAATTTGTTTGAAGACATGAAGTCCACTTTAGATATTAAATATATTTGTACTCATAAATTAAATCAGGATAGTTTGGAGAACATTTTTTTTTTCAATTAAGAAGCAGAGGGGGTCCAGATGAACACCCAACACCTCTGGGGCCGCTTACAGAATTCGTATGAATCTGTTGAAAAAATGATGGTATTTTAGGTTCTAAAGTAAATACAGAAGAGCGAGTTTTAGACGATTACATTATTTGTACCCAAATTTTGGAAACTGCACAAGTTGACATTAAAGGCACGCCTCTTTACAATTTACATAATGAGTCCAGCAGCAGCTCATCATTTTCATCAGTTTCCTCAATCTGATTTTAATCAGGGTGCTAAGGAAACTACTGAAGATGCTTTGGAGTACATTGCGGACAACTTAGCTAAAAAACACAAAACAGATATCCCCAATTTAGGAGATTATACTTATAAAATTACCACACATAATCATTACAGCATTCCCTCTTGGGTGCAACAGTTATCATATGGGGGCCTTATAAAGCCTTCTGATCATTTTTTGAAAAAAAAAATAAAAAATGGAACTTTTATTTTGAATCCCATCATCGTTTCGAAAAGGGCAAGGGGTGGTAAAAAACTTAGCAAAAAAATATTTAAAACAGAAAAAGAATTACAATTTAGTTTAGTTAGAGATTTTTGTAAGCTGAGAACGATAATTCGTATGAACTTCAGAAATATAAAAGCAAAATATAACGTTCAGAAAATCTTTGCAAGATGATACCCGCGGAAAAAAATTAGAAAGTATGGTAAAATTGTAAAGTATATGTAGTAATATGTATTTTTTATATTATGTGCATACAACGGTACATATAAATACATATTATTGTTTACCTACCACCTATAAATAGTTGTTATGTATGTCTAACATATTTTTTGTTTTTTAATATGTTCCTTAATATATCCAAAAATAGGGATTTCTAGTTTATAAGTATTTGTTGATTTTTGTATATTTAAAATTGTAGAATGCCGTAAAACACAAAATTTTACAAGTAAATGTTTTGTTCGCTAGTTTTATGTATTTATGTGAACAATATTTAATTAATATATGTATTTCAAGATAATACATATAAGCCAAACTTGATTGAAATAGTATTATTTTTACCCTACCTGAGCCCCTACCCTACGCTACTTCCCAATAATTATTAAATAAGTACTAAAACGATTTAATATTGACATTAAATGAAAATAACGAGTGATTATCCTAACAACATGCTATATTAGCTAATCAAAATACTCGAAAGTCCATCAAAACTCGGGTCAGTTTCAGATTATTTCCATGCATTTACATAGTAAACGTACAATACTGGACTTCACCTACTTCACAGCCAGCGAGAGTTTTCGCATTGCACTTGCGGACAGATTTGGCGGATTAGGCAATCCTATTAGGTATACGATTCTTGCCCGAGACTTTCAAAAATCCATATTTAACCTAAACCCGAAATGCTCAAACACCAAAACTAATCAAAACCCCAAATGCTCAAAAACCAAAATAAAATCCTAAATGCCTAACCAAAACTCGAAATGTTCGAAAACCAAATTAACTTCAAATGTCCAAAAACTAAAGCTAGACTCACAATACTCAAAAACCAAACCCAAGCACAACCCGAAATGCCCTAAAACCAAAGTTGAACAAAACCCGAAAAGCGCAAGAATAAAATCTAACTAAAATCAGAAACGCCCAAAAATCAAAACAACCAAATACCAAACGAGGTTGAAAAACAAAAAGAAATGAGTGAAAAGAAGATTGAAAGCGCTATTGACCGGTTGCTGAAAGTGACCAACTTCGAAAGAGATGAATGCAGGACGTCCCCGCCCGGTAACGCATGTGAAAATAAAAACAAAATATATATTTCTAATACGTTTTTAGACCCCAGTTGCTTCAAGCCATCCTTTATTAAAGATGTTTCATTTTGTAATAAAATAGTTTTTATTGTAAAAGGCAAAGATTAGCAAACCTAGAAAGCAAAATAAACAATGCCGCACAGAAGGAAAGAGAAGAAGAGCCCCAATACAAGTGATTGACGCGTTAAAAGTAGAAATCAGTAAGGATCACATTTTCTAGGTCCACCGAATAAGTACCAAGAAAGATCCTCTACTACTTGTAAAGTTTGAAGATGCACAAACTAAACATAAATTTGTCAAATGTATTAAAATATTAAAAGTCTTCAAGGTAAGATAATGTGGATTAGTCAGACAGAATAAAAACATCTACTTTAATGATGATCTAAGGAAGTAAAACCAATATATCTCTATCAAACCAGGGATTACAAAAAACAAACAAATTAAGTGCAGCGAATGTGGGCAACGAAAAAATATACCTTAAGTACCGGATACTGAGAG